TCAACTATAGTCAGAGATCAAACGGGATTTTTTGTCCCGAGCCCTTCACAGATTGATTTTCAATCTTATCACGAATAAACTTCATAGCAATCACAATCAAGCAATTGAGAAATAAAACTCCAATATTCAATTTTCAGACATACCTTGACGGTTTGGTATCTAGTATGCGCTTCAGGTGCACTGTATATCATAGCACCAGGACCAACTGTCATGGTATGCTGCAAAACATTAGCCGTGCCATAATCTGACACTTTGCCTCGCCATTGGTCAGCTTGCCGCCACAGTAACACATTGGCACTGCTGATGTCTCGGTGAATGATAGGGGATGGTTTCTGTAAGTGGAGGTAGTTCAATGCTCGAGCCACATCTAGAGAAATGACACACACTTCAAGTGAAGAAAGACGCCGCTGTTCTAACAGTGCTCGTAAACTAGATTGCATGAGCTCTGTTACAAACAAAGGACTTTCTTCATCGTTTGTTGCCCCAATGAACTGCAGCATACAAGGATGGCGGCATCTGGCGGCAATGCTCATCTCTCGCTCAAACAATCTACGGTTGTGATCAGAAAGTATTAACTCGTACATCTGTTTGACGGCGACAGCACAGCCACAGTATTTGCCTTCGATAACACTTCCCCAGCCTCCCTTTCCAAGGCATTTGTCCGTCAGCTGAATCTGATCGCGTGGAATGACCCAATCAGGAGTCTGAGGGCGTGAACGTTCGTTAAGCGCCCTTTGAGCTGCTGAAAGAGACGTCTCCAGTTCGTCTATTTCATGTTCCAAGGAAGTAAATTCTTCATTTGTTTCATGTAGTTGCCTCCGGACATCTGTCAACTGATTTCTTTTCTGCCTCAGTTGTTCATCTCTCTCTTGTAGTTGCCTCCGGAAATCTGTCAACTGATTTCTTTTCTGCCTCAGTTGTCCATCTCTCTCTTGTAGTTGCCACACGACGCTTGCCAACTGCTGTGTCTTCTCTCTCAGTTGTCCATCTTTCTCTTGTAGTTGCCCTTGGACATTAGTCAACTGCTGTGTCTTCTGCCTCAGTCGTTTATCTTTGTCTTTTAGCTGCCCTTGAGTATCTGTTAATTGTTGTGTCTTCTCTCTCAGTTGTCCATCTCTCTCTTTTAGTTGCCCCTGAGTGTTTGTCAACTGCCGTGTCCTCTCGCTCAGTTCTCCATCTCTCTCTTGTAGTTGCCTCCGTACATCTGTCAACTGTTGTGTCATCTCCCTCAGTTCTTCATCTCTGTTTCTTGGTTGCTCTTGAACGTTCTCCAGGTGCTGTGTCAACTCCCTAAATAGTCCTTAGACAATGAATATAGAATAAGGCAATTTTAGCTTGTCTCACAGGGCGTGAACCGATCGAAAACCCAAAACATATTCCTCTCTCTCCCATTCAAGAGATTTCAAACTTAGGATCTGGATCATTTAGACTCCATTTTAGATTACTTGGCGCCCAGCCTGCTATCCGTGTAAAATATATATGTAATATATTCAGTCTCCTGCGTTACCTAATATTGTAACTTGAAAGCTCATGACGGAAATCGCTAGTCTTCCTTACAATTATTTTTCTTTACAAATTTGTTCCTCAACAAGCTCCTTTTACCTGATATCTTCTTCGTTTCCCTTTTAAAATTCTCAGTGAGGTCTTTTTCGGTACCAGGAACAAATCTTCCCCCTCTTCCTTCACCGACCCCACTTCTAGTTACTTCATTCTTGGGAAAAAAAGGAAAACACATAACAACTTAGGGGATAAAAACATTTTGGTACATGTACATTGAGCCTCCCTGCCAAACAAATCTAAAAAAAATCTGTGCATTGCGGTATTTTTTTCAGGAACTTAAATATTACGTTTTTACATGATTTGCCTTAGTTAAGTTTAACAGAAATAAAAGACCTATGCCATGCTCAAGTTGGAATTGGAAATTAAATACGCTTTTAATAGGCACTTTTAAAATAACTTTTTACTAATTTATCTAAGGTCAGTTTCATAATTAATGTTTTCTTAGATTTTTGGTTTGCTTATTCTCTAGTGGACCCCCTGAGAACCACTGAGGTCTCTTCTTAAAATATGTACTGTTACAATATATATAAATTCTTATTGTTATTTTCACCGACTAGCTAACGGACTCTACTCACACTATTTAAACTATTTTTATATCAGGAGTATTTAGCTCGTTGACCCGTTACAAAACATGCTACGTGCGAGTTCAAGCGATTGCTGTCACGAATTGTTATGATTTACTTTTAACGAACTCTCCATAGAAGGATTTCATAGTGGCAAATTGCCCTGGAAATTCAAGTTTCAAGCAATTCAAGATAGTATCAATGTACAACAAAAGACTGATGAGCTTTTAAGATTATTATGATAGTTGCCAGTTATATTATGCGCCGTAGAGGGATGTCATCTGTGGTCGGGTGGTACACTGTCTGATAATTTCATTCCTTACGACCGCTTTTTCCGCAAGTCTTCGATGCAAATTCATTTTGACTGCTTGTATTATAAGTAAACAAGTCATTATACATCGAATGCGAACGAAATCAACCAACGCTAAAGCCAGACCGCAAAACTATACAAATAAACACGGTTTGCTGTTTGAACTTTCATTTTAATTGCTTTGTTTTTGTTGTACAAACATTAATCGGACGGGTGATCATAAGTCTGTTAATTTGATCAACAAGTCGACCGCGGTAAAGCCCGCCTGCAAGCTTTATCTAACGGCTTGCTATTGCTTGAAAGCCATCATCAACTTGAGTTTATTGCGCATTTATATTATATTATTTTTTTCATATGCTAGTCTAAAATATGGGACACTTCAAGAGAGGGAGGGTTTGTTTTTTTTTTCTTTTTTTTTTCGGGGGGGGGGGACTATTAATATATAAACATTTTAACTGTCTGATGGGTCATCTATTTTCAGTGATGACACTCAATTTTTGATGCACCGAATTGAAACTTCTTTTGACTATCACAGCATCATAATGAATTGTTTCATTCGTAAAAAGATTAGTCTGGAAATTGTTAAAGTAAAAAAAAACCAAAGAGGAAATGCTTAGGGAAAATATATAAAGCGCTAAAAATCAAACCTTTCTTACCTTTCTGGCCTCGATGTTCATGGCACCCAGTCCTCCTTTTGCAGACAGGATGCCTCGGGCTTCGTCAGTCTCGCAGTAGTCCATAACTGTTTGACCATTCTTGTCAACAAGCTTTGTATCTGCGCCCAGATCTAACAACAACTCCAGCATTTCTTTCAAAATGTCTACTTGTCCAGGTCGTGGTACAAAAGTAACAGCTAAATGTAAAGGAGTGTTTCCCTGGGTATTAACGGAATTCACATCACATCCTGCATGAAAAATTAGCTTCGTGGTCTCAACACAGGGAAGCTTACACACACCTCGCAAATAAGCGTTCTTACGAACAGGGGTCTTATGCCATGCAGCCAAGTGCAAAAGTGTATTTCCATCACGGGTGCGAGGTTCTAAACACAGAAATCTTCGAAGAAGATCAATCATGTTGCCATTTTTAATTTCCAAGGGAACTTTAACCTTGGTGTACATCACCAAGAGATAGAGAGCATTAAAAAGCAATGTCTCTTGCGCCTCATTTTGGTGCTCTTCTTCCAGTTCTCCAGGCTTCAACTTTTCGAACAGTTTCCTTTTTCTATCGATAAGTTTTTCAAAAATGTTCTCGATGGTTTGTGGACTCAAACTGTGCCCATTCTGTATCATGTGTGCAATTAGATCTGTGAGGTCTTCGATATCCTCTGTTTTTGGAACATTGCAATTCATAGCTATCTCCATCGCTCGTGTCCATAAACCAAAACAAAGTTCGTACTTATTAGAATAACAGAGGACAGCTCCTCGATAACATATCGGGAACCGTAGTATTGTATTGTCAGTTCCAAGGATTCTCTCTCTAATCATGAGTCCTTCCATATGTAGAGCATGATCATCACCTTCTAAGAGAGAAAGTTCCTCAAGAGTTTGACTCTCTGTTCTATTTTGATAAGCCTCCACTGGTTCCATTTTCTTTTTAAGCAAAGGACATGACGGATCCTCATACCTCTCCTCCATTCCTCGCTTCATGAAACTAAACGCTTTTTCAATGTCATAAGCATGAGGATCATTAGCAATAGTGGCCCCTAGAAGCTCAAGAGCATCAATTCTCTGTTCCTTTGAACATTCTGATCGGTTGATGAACCACTCCACCATTTCAATTTTACAATTATTACTGACTTCAAGAAGTGGTGTTAAACGGTTAAGATTTCGTGTTTGTTTTGCTCCTGAAGCGAGCAACTCACAAACTAGCTGAACGTGACCCTGTTTCGAAGCATAATGAAGACACGAGCGTTCATCGTTGTCCTGTAGATTTATGTGTGCGCCCTGTTTGAGAAGATAGGAAGCAACATCCAGGTGGCCGCTGTGACATGTTGTCATCAAAGGAGTACTGTTGCCACAAGCGTGTGCATTTACATCGGCCCCGTTCTCAACCAAACAGCGCACAATATCAAGGTATCCACCGAAGGCAGCAGCTCTCAACGGAGTCGAATTGCTCGATATTCTGCAGTCGACTTCAGCGTTTTGTTTGATCAAGAGTCTCACAACATCAAAATGACCTTTAGCAGCAGCGATCCATAAAGCTGTACAATCCAGTATAACTTCTCCGTCAATCTTAATTGTTCCACGGGCCTCGATGTTCGCTTCATGACGTAAAAGAACCTTTACGAAACCCAGTTTTCCATCACGAGCAGCGATGATGAGACGAGTGGCAAAGTCGTTGCCATCTTCTTGTTTTGTTTCCAGAGCGGCTTTTCTTGATTCGGGGTTAAAATCCTTTAGGAACTGATCAAGCAGATCAGAATCTTTGTCACGATCAGCTTGATGAGCTGAAGTCGCATCAAGAATAGATTCTGTGTTACCCATTTCAAATAACACGGCTTAACTGGAGAATACCCCGCCACTCGAAGTAAATTTTACTTGACCAGCTGCACGGTACCCAGAAAATAATTAATTCAATAAGAATTAAATTTATGCAATGGACAAGTGATTAAAAATGGTGCAACAATGTTATGTGCTGGCTACGTGGTACGCCGTGAAAACAAAGACGGGGTATTGTGCATTCCTCGTTCTTTCCGAGTACTGCGTACCCAGTAGCCAGCTACTTAGATACATCGCCATCTTGAATTTAATTCTTTCCGAGTACAGCGTACCGCGTAGCTAGCTCTTTTCAGTAACGGCTCGATGTGGCGGGGTATTCTAACGTTACTCCAATAACACAAATACAAAACCTCTAAATTCTGCTATGCGCGACTTGAACTGTGTGAGCAAAACAACAAACACATTGATAATTTTATGGTCAGAACTTTAATTTGCATAAGCAGGCTCATTGATTTCAGCTGTCACGATGGAGAAACAGTTCATTTTACCGATGATTGGTTCAGTTTACATGTTGTAGAAACTGACGTACGAGGTCAGAACTGTAATTTGCATAAGCAAGCTCATTGATTTCAGCTGTCACGGTGGAGAAACAGTTCATTTTACCGATGTTTGGTTCAGTCTATATGTTGTAGAAACTGACGTACGAGTTGCTTTATCTAAAAAAAGGTTTCCTGATGCAAATCATGTTCAGGAACCTTTTCATTTTCTGTCAGAAGAAACACTCAGTTTCGTTACATTGTCATTCATACGCCTTCTCACGAACCTAATCTGTCCGCTAGAAACCAAACATTCTTCCTTTCTGAGAAGCGTGTATTGTAACACGTATTTATTAAGTTAGGGAGGGGAGGGAGAGGGCCCAACTGATCTGGAGACGTGCATGGAAAGGTGTTATGTAAAATATGAACAAGATATATTTACGCCCGTACACGGTCGACGGCTTTAAATCCTCGATACGGCTTTCGCTTTTTTTCCAGAAGACATAGAAACAGTTCTTTCCAGTCCCAAGACTATAATTCATTTATGATCCTCGAAACCACTTAGAGCGACAGGAGTCATTACACGTGATTGCACCATTAACACACATGTAATTAACAGATCACAACGGTCACAAACCAACAAAATCATCTAATCATGGTAGAAATAGACGGAACTATGAGCTTGAGAGCAGCGGCCCATAAAGCTGTGCAACTCTCGATAAACCCAGTACTCTAACGTCGTGGCAAACTCTGAAAGTCCCTTGGGCTTCGATGTCAGTTTATAACTTAGAAAAATCTTTATAGAATTCAGGTGTCCATTACAAGCGGCGATGATCAAAGGAGTAGTTATCTCGCTGCCTTTTAGGGTCTTCCGGCGGTACGAGAACGGTTTTCCTTTCGTCGGTGTTCAACCGCTTTATAAGATCTTCCAGACCGGAAGAACCGTCACGAGCAGCTTGATGAACTTTCTGAGTTATGGCATCTTTATTTAATAGCATATCGACCATTTTACAGAACACACGCGAAACCTCTAATTTATTATGCGCCTCGCTTGAGAGAAGACAACAAAAATCTTTAAAGTCAAACCTAATATAAGCAGACTTTCATGATTTCATTCGTCACGGTACGAATAAACGAATCATTTCACTAGTGTTGGATTCAGTCCGTAAATTTTGGTAAATTGATTCAAAACTCAGTAGCAGAGACTGATACCGAGTGTAGATTGGCTTGAAAGAGTGTACTATTTTTCGGGTGCCCATACCAGTCCTACGAGTACAAAGAGAAGTTCTTATTTGAGAGTACAAAAGTTCGTCTGGTCATTCGCCTTTAACCGAAAAAGGAAAACTATTGAACTGAACAAAAATGCGAGGTATTGACGTTCTGTTTTCACTACATTCAGTTTCAAATTGTGCCTCAACCCCCCGGGTGCCCCGGTCTGCGGGACGGTTACTGAACTGTGTCAGGGTAGGTACTTCATGTACGGGTCATTATTATGTCCTGTCAGGGGTAGGTACGCTGACCACCAGTGGCCATTTTAATTCAATCGATTGCTCATTTAACTTTTCTCACAGAGCATGGCTCACAGGTTTTCTTCTGTGGTGCGAACGATCAGCAGAGATCCCCGAATATTTCTCCACCGTCAAAAGCGTCATTTCAGCCCTGTCTTATTATCACGAAGCATGGTGAGTTATGTATTTTGAGCAGTTATGACGTTCACGCAAAACGTGAGAGATATTCTCCTACAAATTACGCGCGGTCCTTTTTAATTTTATGTTTGAGGTAATAGTTAAGCTGTAAATCAAAGAAAACGCCTCATTTGATATATTTTTTCTTTCTTCTTGTCTCCTTTTCAGTTGAAAATATGTTGTTATCGTAATGAAAAGTTTCCTCTCGGTCACTCCTCAGAGTGATAGAGTTAATATACATTTAAAGAAGATACTTCATATATTTGTGGCCAACAGGCTTCAAGAATTGAGACTGATAGTTTTGGAGAAATAGAAGTTCCAGCTGGTAAATACTACGGAGCGCAGACAGCGAGATCAAAGCTGAATTTTCCTATTGGTGATGAAACTGAACATATGCCGGTATGTTGATCATGATCTTCTCCTACAAATGACATCTTGTTCTAGAGTACATTCAGGTAGATATTACTTTATACCAATAAAATTTGCCAGTGTATACCTTTTACCAACCTAGTTTGGGGTCTGCATGACAAGTTACAGACCAAATTTTACTCTACTTATGTTTGGCCCAAGCGTAAATCAGGTCATCAAATTAAGTGGAAAAACCAAGGTTCTATAACTTACAGAACGGACCAGGAAACGAGGTTAGGAAGATATTGATTATCTCTAGGTTTAAGTAGAGGGGGAGTTTTTAATTGAAACAAAGTTTTGAATTTAGCAGGTTGCGCAGTGAAATGTAACCTGCTAAATTGACCAGTCATCACCCATGTACTAACTGAAAGATCTAATAAGTTAAACGAATTCTGGCTTCTCCAATGTTAGTAAAGGTATTACTTAAAGCAATTATCTACCTAGGAACACTTTTTATCAGTTAACAGGAAAGGTTCAGAGAGAATGTAAAAGAACTGGTGGGTGATATTTTTTAACCATGAGCTATTACAACTGGGCATTATTCAACAAAATGTAATGATGGAAAATCGTTTGGTTACTGGTAATAGTGTATTGTTGTTTTTGTCTTTTTTCTGATAGGCTCCAGTGATTCGTGCATTTGGTTTCTTGAAGAAGGCAGCTGCAGAGGTCAATAAGGAGTTTGGTTTGGATGCAAGTGTAGCTGATAACATCATGAAAGCAGCAGATGAGGTACAAAACATTGGATTAACCCTTCAATTCCTAAGAGGGACTAGCATCTAATTTCTCCTTATAATGTCACACTTGAATTACACATTAAGGTGATGAGAATAAAAGAAATGATCACCAAGAAAAGAAGTTCTCAATTATTAACAAATTCTCCTTGTCAGCACCTCAGGAAATGTATATAGAGATTAGTATGGAGAATATATATATTGATGTTGGAGAATATATATATTGATGTTGGAGAATATATATATTGATGTTGGAGAATATATATATTGATGGTTAATGAATCTAAATAATATTGAAAAGGTGAAAACTTCATTCAGTACCCCCTGGGTTTGGGTCTTGGGTGGATAATAGGGTTGAATTCTTGTGCAAGACACATAGCTGTCGCAGTGCCTCTTTTCATCCAGGAATTTAAAACCAGCATCTGTCACCTGTCAGGGGAACTTGGTGAATTGCCTGGAAATAAACTACTGTAAACTAGATCCCTCTGATGGGAAGAAAAATGCCTCTGGTTGTATTACTTTTGGATGATATTACAGACAAATTGAGATATGCTCAAGCAGTGTGGCTATCTTATGTTACTCACTCCAAAAAAGCTGCAAATTTGTGGAGTTATAATTGATAAATATTAAAGGTATTAATTGGAGCATCTTTGATTCCAGGTGATATCTGGGAAGCTGAAGGACCATTTTCCCTTAGTTGTTTGGCAGACAGGTTCTGGGACACAGTCCAACATGAATGTTAATGAAGTGATCAGTAATCGTGCCATTGAGCTGATGGGTGGCGAGATGGGATCAAAAAAACCTGTCCATCCTAATGATCATGTCAACAAAAGCCAGGTCAGAGGCTTATTTTAGTTTGCTTAATATTAGGGTGGGGAAAAGGAGAGAATCCTCATATAGAATGATGTCAAAGTGCAAAGTTTTCACAAATCATGAGGGGCTACACATCTTTCTCAATGATGTGATTCATCTGGTGGCTTACCCTTCAGAATGTTCTGGTGATTTCAATTAACTTTGCAATGGGAGGGGGGAGGGGGGGAGGAGAGAAGAGAGAAAGGCAGGGATCCAGGTGGCCTTATGATCGTTGACTGTGTTGTGTCTCCATATTTTTTTCATGATCACTGTAACCAATAAAAATAGCTCCTTTATGTTTTAATAACAATATTTTTCTCTCTGATTACAGAGCTCTAATGACACATTTCCAACGGCAATGCATATAGCAGCAGCAATGGAGGTGCATGAACGTCTCTTACCAGGACTAAGAAAGCTTCATGGTGCACTTCAGGCTAAGAGCACAGATTTCAAGGATCTTGTTAAGATTGGTAGAACACATACACAGGTGAATTGTCTGATCGTGTGTCTTAACAGACCGCAATTGTGTCACATGCTAATTACCTTTTACAGCTCAGTGGAAATCCTCAGAAGTTTGATGCTTTCTCTTTCTTTGTTTTCCTCTGTTAACCCCCTTCACTCCCAAGATCTGATTATTAATCTCCCCTCCAGCTGCTACACATTTCTCTGTAAACTATTTACAAGAATTTGGTGTAAGATCAAAGCAATGAATTCTACCTGATAAGTTTGAGTATCCTCATAACTTTTTTTCTGAACAATTTCCAGATATTGGAGGAAGAAGCTACGTGTTAATCACTTTTAAAAATCATGAACATTATCAACTTCTCATGAAAAGAATCCCAATGAAATTTATCCCATAGCCCTGGTCAATATACAGTGAGTTGCATAGCATATGAACAATGTGTTGATTATCATTGGAGGATTTGATTAATCATCACCTTTTACATGTTTTCATTTTTACAGGATGCCACGCCCATAACTTTAGGCCAAGAATTCAGTGGTTATGTTAAACAGATAGAGTATGGTATTGCAAGGGTGGAGGGCACCCTTACAAGAGTATATGAGCTGGCTATTGGTGGAACGGCTGTGGGCACAGGACTGAACACAAGAATAGGATTTGCTGAAAAGATGTCAGCTAAGATTGCAGAGTACACTAAGCTACCATTCACAAGGTGTGAATTAGACAGTTGATTTGGAATAAATATATTACTCTAAGTACTGTTCTATGATATATTCAAAATGTTTAGGATTGTTAATTTGTAAGTTATGAAAAGCAGTTACTATTTGGCATGTAGCTTCATGTAGTTATGAATTTTTTTATTTATTTTATTGCTTTGCACCTTATTTTTAGGAGATGATGTAATTTCAGGACAAACAATTTTAATTAGTGGGCCATCATTTTTTGAAAAAACAGTTTTTTCTTTAATTTACTTTAATTTTGAACACCAATACTTTACTTTAATCTTGAACACCAACAAGACTTCATGCAGTTATTTAAATTATTATCTTCTTTGTTTCCTTTAGTGCACCAAACAAATTTGAAGCCCTTGCAGCTCACGATGCCATGGTAGAGCTTCATGGAGCACTCAATGTGATCGCTTGTAGTTTGATGAAGATTGCAAATGATATCAGGTTTTTAGGCTCAGGTCCTCGCTGTGGATTGGGTGAGCTGACGCTTCCTGAGAATGAACCTGGGAGCAGTATCATGCCAGGTAACAACACAATTCATAACACTAAAGTACTGAACTGTTTCACTCGTACAGAATCACACAGGGTTCACTGAATCCTGAGCAGGTATGATAAAACAGTTTGGCAGTGGTGGCTCTCTATTGGTTACAGAGAAACCCTTAACATTACTCTTACCCTGCTTCATGTACAGTGTACATGTATCAGTTTATATTAATGCTCTTCCCCCTAGAGGCCAATTGAAAATGTTTTGCTTACCCAAGTTGGTGCTTAGAGCACTTTCCTATTGTTTGTTGTTAATCACAGCCAAGGTAATTAGAACAGCCAATCAGAAGAAAGGAAAATACCCTGAAGAACCAATGAAATTCAAAGTGAAAACAAGCAAATTTCCTAAACATAAGAAAGTGGGTGTGGCCAAGTTATAATTGGTTCAAGTTTTGCATCTAATTGGTTGAGTGGCACAAGTTTTCTAGTCCAATTACTAAGGGAAGTTAATCTAATCCATTTGAAACTCCATCAAAAATTGAGTAAGGAATATAATGATAACTTGTTTACAAGTTTCCTGTTTTGTTCAATTAGGCAAGGTTAACCCAACCCAATGTGAAGCCATCACCATGGTCGCAGCTCAAGTCATTGGCAATCAAACAGCTGTGTCAGTTGGTGGAAGTAATGGTCATTTTGAATTGAATGTCTTCAAGCCAATGATAATCAGAAATGTTCTGCAGTCAACACGGCTTATTGGAGATGCCTGTGTAGCCTTTACAGATAACTGTATTGTGGGAATTCAAGCTAATGTGGATAGAATCAACCAGTTGCGTGACGAGTCACTCATGTTAGTGACAGCATTGAACCCTCATATTGGTTATGACAATGCTGCTAAGATTGCAAAGAAAGCTCACAAAGAAGGCACAACTTTGAAGGAAGCTGCCATAAGCCTGGGATTGTTAACAGAAGAACAGTTTGCTCAGTGGGTGAGACCAGAGGACATGTTAGGACCAAAGTGAAAAATATTTAACATTGGTGGGACATGAGTTGAAGCAAAATGAAAAACCTCAAGTTTTCAACTCATTTTTTCCAACTTTTACTAGGTTTTAAGACAATTTATCAAGTTTACAACTGAGCTAATTTCAAAGCATTTGCTACAAAACTTCTTTTGCAATCCAGATGCAGTATTGGTAATCCATTTAATTTAAAGACAATACAAATAGATGTACACGTACATGCTGTTCTTCAAATTAAATGCCAACTATTCCAGTGCAGTGAAATTACACAAAGGGGTGATTTCAAAATTAAAGTACCTGGCTGAGAGTTGCACAAAAATAACACCTCCCAGAAACATAATGTGTTTAATTAGGCCAAGCTGTGTTGTGGATTTGGGTTGTATTTTTAATGTTATTCAGCAATTTGTGAAACACAGCAGCTGTGACTTGGTGGTAAGGCAATAAAGTAAATTTGCTGTTTCATCAACTGAGTTTTTCATCTGTCTACGAAAACAACTTTACAAATCAAAAATGCATTTACTTTTCTGGTTCCCTTCTCACTTGTACTTCAGAGTATTTTTATCATTCAACCTTGTTTTTAACTCTTGAACTCCCATGAGTGACCAAGACAGAATTTCTCCTTACAATATCAATGCAATATCAACCAGATAAGTGACAAGAATAACAAAAAATATCAGTTTGGGAAAAATTAGTTGATCCAATACTAAATGTATGGTTGACAGTAAGGAGAATAAAAAATTTGATCAGGGAGTTAAAGCAGAGTTTCAATTTTACTACAGAATATCCCAAACAGGGTGTCATTATGGAATGGAGGCCTTCATCAGGGTATAAATTCATGGTGGTAGGTCCATGTGTGGTATTATTCACAATCTATTCCCTCCCCCTACCACATGGATTCAATCCAAACAGATTTTCCCAACAATAGCATAGCTCCATTTTCGGCAAGTAAACATACACACAACCCACAATTCCTCCAATCACTCTGACAAAGGGCTAACACTCGAAACATCAGCTTTTAAACTCTTTACGGTGGCCAATTTACCCTTTCAACTCAGTTGATGATACTAAATTACCCTGTTATACTCTCCCATCAATGCAACACCACAGTTTCTTTAGAAACTTGCTCCCTTTATTCATTTGATTTTCTATTTGCTTAGAATACCACCATACATATGTAACAACTCAGTGCTATGGATTGTACTTTGTAAAAAAGATTAGTTTGTTCTTTGAATTGAGTTGGCTCCAAAAGATAACTGTACCATGTCTGTACTCTGCTGGGAGCTAAGGTACAAGCATACATTTTGCATTTCAGGATTGCAACACAGGGGTTATATGTGCACAAGACCCTCCTGAAAGTGACATTCACATTTCAGTGATTCATGTCTATTCCTTAGCTCACAGGAAAGTTAGTTTTTGGCTTCTATTTTTCTTGCCCACAAAGAAATTATCTCTATAAATTTTCTCCCTGCTCAGTTACCGGCCATTACTGGCATCATCTGAAAGCGCATTGTATAGCACTCTGATGCTCAAGGTGCAGTTTGAACAACATACAATGTTGTGTCCATTTTCCAAATCACTCTCACTTATCACATACTCTCCACTGCAGCGACACACACTTGAATAACTCTCTGTATCTGAAACAAAGTAAAAGAATTTTCACTTGGCAGGTGCACTGCATGCACTGTGTTGCAACTACAATCAGTGGCATTTTTAGAATATTAAATTATGCATCAAATGACTACACCCAATGGGTTATTTACACAAGGTTCAACCCAAACCAAGGTTTTACGCAACCAGTGGATCTTGGGCTTTAAGAAGGTTAATTTTATTAAATAGATGTCCCTCCATTGTCAGCTTTCAGCCCTCTCAATGCCGTTCATAAAAATAAATTTTCAAATAAAAGGTTCAGCTAAGCTGAGGATTGTCCAGGATGCAGTTTTGTTAATCAACGGCTAGGCTTTGTCTATAAATAAATAATCAGTCCAATGAGATGTAAAATATACAGAATAGGGTACTGAAGACACTTACAAAGAAACACTCCTGTAACAGTATTTTGATCCATTTATTCTGTCTGCCTTTCCCCCACCCCCTCTCTCCTTAAAATTCTACAGCCCTTAAACATTGCTTCATGATGAAACACTGAAGATCATCCAGAGTAGTAAACTTCCTACTGGTAATCACTAACATAGCTCTTTTATATCTAAGTGAATGTCCAAGTTTTTTTCAAGTTGTTTCTTTAAATATTACCTTCATGATATTCCATGTCATCCAAATCTACTTCATCACTTACTGGCCAATCTTGTGACAAACCCTGTTCTATAAAATTAATATAATGGTCAAATAAGTATAATCCAAATCTAATGCTCAAAATATACTTTGAAAAAAAATGTCCTTTCTTCTGTTAATGAAATAATCTAGGAACTGAATATGAGAGTTTTCTTCCCAGTAATGAACACTTCTTAATCAGTAGTGAAAACAAAGATTGAAAAATTCAGGCCCGTACAGAAATTGAATTCATGACCTCTGCAATACCAGTGCAGTGTCATACCAACTGAGCTAACAAGCCAATTGGGAGCTAGTCATTTTTTTGGTTTGTAATTATCCTAAGGACTGCCAGAATATTGGCAGATTAGGGCAGTCCACCAAGGAGTTTTATAAGACAGGTGTGAACTACTCTTCCCTGGGCCCCCTTAATTGGGGGAGGTGAAGGGGAAGAGGGTGTCATAGTATAAGAGAGCTCAGCCACCTAAGGTTATATTTTCTCATGAGAACACACAATTTTTTTTTCTGTTTAAGCTTCAAATTACTATTATTATTATATCAGCTATGTTACACATCTTAATGCTTTGAATCCTAATGGCACAGTAGGGTGCTAAGCATAGCCTAAAGGCCATGTCATAAATTAACCTAATTTCCTAGTCAATATCTATCCATATATATACAATATTATTATTATTATTATTTAGCTTTTTTCATGTTTGATTATTGCCGTTCATTCTTCCTTGTTTTATTTTATCCTTATTCATCACACCTTTGAGTTGCCTGTCACAATCTGCTCTTGTTTCTTGGTTATTAAGGATTTTCCAAGCCTTGTCAATGGCCAGAAACCTCTTGTAGGCTTTGTCACGATCTTCTTGACTTAATGATTCATCCAGTTTATCTGGGTGTACCTTGAAGGACAGGCGTAAGAAGATCAGCTGATCAGACCTTGCTTGTCAAAACAAACCTTGCCAATAATTAACACACACGATTAGTTTCCAAACCTTTAGTACAAGTCTTTGATAAGCTCGTTTAATTTCTTCGCGGCTGGAGTTTTCGGAAACGCCAAGCTCTTGGTAAGGATTACTCAAATCTGTCGAGTTCATTGACTAGTTCTCACGACTGTCCGCCATAGTTACACTTCATTTTACGAGAGAGAATGAACACTAATACCTTTCTAATAGAGGATTTGATTGGCTTATTTTACAAAACTTCTAAAATTTGACAAATCAGAAGTGTCTTTGTATGAAGATTGCGTGGTTACCAATGACTGAAATGAAAATGGCGGCGTTACGATATGTTGGCGTGTGTAGATGCGTAAACCTAGGACGGCGTTTTAAGCCTGTATTGACGACCACTGGTTGTCTGCCTTCAAAGAATGAGGTGCAATAGTTATTATTTATTTAATTCCGCTTAAATTTCATTGGTGACAGACCTGTGTGCGTTATTTTCTGCTCCAAGTTTGACGTTGCCTAGGGTTAGGGATTGTTAGCGAAATTTCATCAACACTGCTGGAAAGGGCTTCCAAAAAAAGAGTAGAGTGGCCAACTTCATCCGCGTTCCGTCGAAAACTAACGGAGATGTCTTAGTCTACAAATTTATAAAATTATATGTCTGTATGGTGAATTACACAAACGTACCACTGCCATTAAAACACCTGCTCAAATTAAGTGATTATTGCATTGGTATATGTTCGACATATTATTCTCAGCTGGCAATTTTTTTATGATTCCATGTTGCTCTTGGTAGTACTTCCTGTGGATATTTGTACTAGCTAGTCCATCTCAAACTTGAAACACCACCATCAATCAGTCGTTGACTCATCTTTGATCTATTACTTGTAACTTCTCAGGTATTAGAATTAACTGGTCAAACTTCACTTGTTGGACTTTTTCACCAACACAGGTATGTGATTTGATGAAGTGGAGGAATTTTGAGGCTGGAATTAACACATTTTTACTCCTTTCACCTGTTCACAAATTACCTTTGTTTTAGAAAACAATTTAAAGCAGTTTACGCTCTGTACTTGTGAAATGGGAGACAATCAGTCCGGTGGGGCACATGTAAATTGTGTTGAGATCTTCTTGACTGTAGTCTCGGGGCAGCTAAGATTGATGATAAAAAAATTTTTGATTTTTAAGCCAGAAAGTAAGTTTGCTTTCTTTGTTATAGGGGAAAAGGATTCTTGGGTAGTGAAAGGATCTGTGGTGAGACTCTCATTCAATTGTAAATGCAGTCATTATATGCATGTAAATTGTAAGGAATGCTTTAATTTTTTTTAAGAAAATGTCATTATCCTCATCGGAAGGCAAGCCCTGTAACTTATGACACTAGTCTGGCCCAATGATGTTCATGTGTCATACTTTGATGCCCAAAATGACTAGTGATAACTGTTTTATTCTCTTTCTTAAAGGTCTTGTATTTCCTTGAAAAACACCAGGAGAATTTAACAATGCATCAAAAGTCTTTAAGCCCCATCTGATGCATCCTTTAGTTGTATTACATTATTAATGGACAGATTATCTCAAAAGTCACTGCTATCCACTAACTTCTCTCTCAGGGAACAAGCATCTTCATTCCAAGCAGTTTTCAACTGATTCTGGACATGTGAGTATTTCTCTAGGTACAAAATACATGCTCTCTTAGTTACTTTTAGTGGCTGAAAACTCATCTTTGAACATAAATGTTAGGTTGAGTTTCTACCTGCATCACAACACTTTAAGATAGTTAAATTATTGTTTTTGTTGTCTCTTTCCAGTACAGTTCAAACCCTAAAAAGAAAACTCTGTACTCACTGATTAACATTAAATACAAGGGAAGTGATGAAGCTGTGTTAAGGAGTTACACTAAGTTTATGACAATGGCTGCAGAACATCTAGACATTGATATCTCTAACAGGTATATACTGCACAGAACAGGTACATACTGTACATAACAGATATTATGTAAGGTAATAAATGTCACAAATATTATGTAGGGCTGTTACAAAGACTTTGCCAATTTCAGATGCCTTAAATTACATACTTATTGCAAATATCACATTTTCAATGCTTGACTTAATGATCACACCCCAAGTCATGAAAAAAATGGCTATCAATTCACAAGTCACAAAGACTTTGTGACTCACTTTGGCCGTAAAATTAGCCAAGAAGTTAGCCACAAAACTAGAAACATACAGAGGTGCCAAATCATGAAAATTTAAAATCTGGAAATATATATATATTGTTTTATCAGATCTGGGAGTAAAGAATTGAAGGCTTCATCAAAATTTATTCTAATGCAGCTGTACTGTCATGTAAATGTTCATCAGCATGGATAATACCACTTGCATATATGTTAACCAAAAAAACTTGAATAGAATGTGCCCAAAATCGCATGCAATTGCAAATAAAAACAATCATGGGAATCAATAAATTACACGTTCGCGCATAAGCTTGATACATCTACCTCATAAGTACTACGAGGTAGTCCTTTTTTCCTATTGTTGGCGGTTTATCATTCTTAAGATAAGCAGTATAAGTAGTCACTTAGGTGTAGAGGAAGAGTCCAGTCTGTCTTTCTCTTTGCTTTGCTGGCTAGTTAAATAATTTTGGGCAAAATTTGCATTTCTTGCAGAATTTTACTACCAATAGCAATCGAAAGGCACACACTTTTGAAATCACCACACATTAACAAGAAGCACAGAGCACAGTACGAGGTTCGGACACATGGGCGCATGTTACAGGTTTGCATTACTTCATTATCAACAAATGGTATTGTTAGTATGTTGTCTTTATCCTGTCACATTCTCTTTTTCTGTCCCTCTGTGTGTTCTGATTATTTTAGTCTGTAGGTGTAGTGGAAAGTTGGTTCTAGTTTTCTTGCTGCCCTGAACACTTTTTTTTTTCTGTTAGCCTTCTCCACACTTGCTTTTAATGATTTGCTAGTGTTATCACACAACATCAAATACGGGGAAAATTGTGTGACAAGGAAATGGTACTTGTGTTGAGGACCCGATGCAAAGCAGTTGTGATTGTTTTACTGTCGGTCTGACAGGTTAGGAATGTAACCCAAGAAACAGCAGATGTATTCCTTGAGTACATTCAGCGTAACATACCAGAGGGAGTCAGTATGAAGGTAGAGCAAACAGAGCTGGAATCAATCTCAGACTACTTTGAGCTGCCTCCTGAAGCACAAGAATTCCTCAAACAACAGGAAGCAATCAAAGGACAACATAATAATTTTACTTCTGATCACACCTCATACTGAGAGCGACCACCATTTTGTTGAATATTGTGTATAGTTGTGAAGGAAATCAGTTTAGAATATAACAGTAACCTAAAGAGCTGGGTGTCACATACAACTAGCACTTTCTTATAAAATATTTCTACCATTAGTAGGAAGGTTGAAATACTTGTGGCATTACTGTGTTGTACTACAACCAAAGATACTGTGGACATTGAAATCAAAATGATATTTAGAGTTGAAGGCTGAGAAATGTTGCAATTTTATTTTGATTTCTAAATACAATATGGAGTATATCTTTTGAGTACCTCATATTAAAGGCAAGATTTCAAAAGTTGCAATGCAATCATTTTAGTTAGGTATTATGATGGGGCCAAAAATTACTGCGTGACTTCATCAAAAACAAGATCTCAAACCCCAAGGCTATTCAATCTGGAGTCCCTAAGGCACTCATCCTTACACCAATTCATCTTCCATAACCATGTGTTAACACCTTCTGAAAACTGTACCTGATTTACTCCTAGAGTTGAGAGGGAATTAAAAAAAACAAACAAAGCTAACAATGAACAACAGTAAAATTTAGTGAGTTTCTATGTGAATAAAGTAATAACTTTTTATTTGTCAATAGCTAGACAAGATTTGCCAAAAATTACATTTTGGTGAAAAGAAGTTGAGATATTGTGGTTTTAACAAGGAAAACAAGGGCAATAGAAAAGATAATATTTTAATAAAATAATTAAAACAAAAGCCAAAGGGAGGAGGGGTGAGGTAAATGTGCTATGGGAAGGGGGGGACAACCCCCTATCCCCTACCATTTTCCTATTCAGTTTATGCCTGCTATGCAGGGTGATGACAATATTAGTATCTGTGCTACTGAAATTCAGGAGATGAGGTTTTAGCCAGGAACATCTTTTTCTGGTGCAGTTCATGTTATATTATCACAACTTGTGGTATGGCATCTCAGCTCTCCATAGCTCTTCTAACACACTGTCTTCACTTGGAAAGCGAGTTGTGAATGACTTGATCATCCCAGCAGGGCTTGCTTCAAATTCTGTCAAACTAACATCATTGTCTCCTAAAGAGAGAAATTGATAAATTTTGTTGGTTTTTTTTTTTCAATTTTGGGTTGCATTTCTATACTTGATTCATATACTTTTAGAAACTACTGCAGTAACACAATAACATTGTGTCTTTTGGGAGATTTCTTTTTGTCATTATTTTGAAATTTCTCTAGGACACACAAAAAAATGGACTGAATACTTCAAAGAAACCTTGATATGCAACTCTGAGTATGAGCACCACTTGAGAATTTGGTAGAGTGACTCTGAGTGCACCTGCATAAATAAGCTTTCACCTCCTTGTACCCCTTTGATTATTTTTGTAAGGAAAAGAAAAGTCCTTCAGGGCATAACACTTGGTGTAACTGATTGAGCACATTTTTATCATGAGCCCATCCTTATTAAAAGCTCCTCTTGACAAATACTATCAAGCTTACCTGTAATGCTTGTATGGCATTGAACAAACATCCTTCGTGGAGTCTTGCGAGCAAGAACTGTCTGACGCAATGCTAAATATTCCTCATTTACGGCTGAGTATTGATCATACAAAGCTTTGCCAGCATCATAATCTGCTGTTGACTTGTACACCTATGAGGAGAAAGAATTTGATCAAAAGAAGATAAAAGCAGAGACCAATACAGTAGAGTTTCATCCTTCTATGGGTAAAATGAGATTTTATATCAGAGATGATGATAAGATGACAACAAATTGACCTAGCCAGGGTCTCCACTTAAGACTTATCAACCCAAATTCTAGCCCCCTGGTCACAGGGTAACCACTACATCCCCCATTAAGCATTCTATAGTGTCTCCTTTGAAATAAAAATACTCAGGAGGAAAATATTATTGTTCATACATAAAAGCACAATGACAAACCTGTAGTTTTCTGAGGAAGTTTCCAATAGCTGGCCTTCCCACAGATTCAATCTTTGTTCTATCCAGTGTCACCAACACATCTGGTTTACCATCTGACCCTGTGATACTGGTCACTTGTACTAAATTTTCACCTGCTTCAAGGAGAACTTGTAGAATGACATACCGTGCTTGCATGTGAGCCTACAATAACAACAAAATATTTAGTTGTACTAGGAGACTTATAGTGGACCTTTTTCTACACTATCGTTGATGACACAATATTTTAGCTAGATTTAAAGAATGCACTACCAAAAAATTCCATAAATCTTTATGGCTGACTCTTAGGAGTGGGACACACTTGCCAATCATAAATGACAGTAGAAGTGAATTAGCTTTGGGGCATCACTGTTGTCCACTATTTTTAACTCGTTCTGTAAACTTGTTGTGAAATGTTTCCCCACAAAAATTGATTTCCTAGATTTATTATGAATTTCATTGTGTATTAAGTGAGTTGTAATTTTATTACCGTTAAAGTACAGAGTTAATGTTACAATTAGAAGTAGCATGTAATTGGGAGCGGTGTGGAATAGGGTAATCAAATCAGTTCTGTGAGCAGTGATGTATGAAATTAGGTATTTGCAGGGTGTTTAAGCACATACGAACTTAGCTGCATGATTGTCAAGTAAAGCCATGATTAATAGGAAATTAGTGCCCATGAATCGTTGTAGAATGTGAGTGAATCTTAAATCCCACATGGAATTATGTATCTGGGTGTGGATTTCCTTAGCTAATAAATGTAACATTTTTGTAACCCAAGGATTAGATTGTAATAGAGTAGACAGATCACAAAACAGAACTTGTAATGCTGAATTGTCATCAATAAAGCCTGAATCAAGAGAAAGTATACGGTCCAAGATTACTGAACCAGCGTGTGCAGAATTCTCAGCAACACAAGTGGGAAATTCTGCAAAAAAACTTGTTCGTGTTGCTAATGCCAAGTAACAACAAGTACTAAAAAGCATAGGGGCAAGCACACCACCCAGATTTCATCTTTGATTTTTTACAGTGCAAGATGTGAGCAATTTTTAAAAGCCAATCACTGTAATCATCTTAAAACATAACCATCAGTGCCATTTGCAGAGATGACCACATGGAATAGACAATTGTGTGATCTGGTCAAAGCAAATTTCTCTAACAGCATGCACCATACTTCCTGTTTACATTTTAAAGCTGCTGTTTAATTCTAACATACCTGCCGCCATTTGTTATTCTCAGGGGTATAAAATTCCAGTCCTAACAGACCTGCACGGACCATATTCAGCCAGTTGATGTAAACTATGTTATCAGCATCAGTGCCTTCATGCCCAAATATTCTGCAGGTACAATAAGTAGAGCCCTATTTTTAAAGCAGTGTGCATTAAAACAGAGATCATGAATAGCCTATTTTAATAACTTTTTCACATTGGACTGACAGAATAATTCAAAACATTGTTGAAATGCCTTGTTTCTACCAAATTAAAAGACCATAGAATAACTTGGGCAGTTGAGCCCAATTTATCCCATGGCAGGTAATTTAGTGTTTACAACTGAGTTAAAAATGTAAATTAGCCACTATAAAGGGTAAAAAAGCTGACGTTTTGAGCATTAGCCCTTTGTCAGAGCGATTGAAGGGCTAACGCGAAGGGCTAACGAAGGGCTAACGCTCAAAATGTCAGCTTTTTTTACCCTTTATGGTGGCTAATTTACATTTTCAACTCAGTTGATAACACCAAATTACCTGCTATACCCTCCCACCGATGCAGCACCACAGTTTCTTTAGAAACTTACCCCTTTATCCCATGGCAGTTGTGTCATAGCTTGTAACCAATCAAAATTAAGAATTGCAATACATAGTTTAAACAGAAGATATGCATGGCACCCACCTCAGTACTTCCTTAGAGGTACAAAGGTAGATTCCCACACACTCTGCACGGCATTCCTCATAAGATGGACTTAATTCAGCAAACCGTGTGTACCAGGTCTCCCCGTCAGTATACCAGCTGGAGATCTGGAAACCACAATAACACCATTAATGTCTGATAGACCTAAGTGCTTGTGTCACTCAAAATAACAAAGTATCAGTGACAAAGAGAACTTTCCCTTTCACCTTTTCTCCAGTTTCTGTGTGCATCACACTGTCAAGGTCAAAATTATATGTGCCATCATTTTTCTGAGAAAAAAAAAAAGATTACATGTGCTACACCAGCAAGTAAACTAAAACCAACTGCATAAAAATGTTTGGACAAGAAAGTACACTATGATTGCCAATATTTCTAAAAGCAACTCTGTGTTAAACCAGACAGTTGAAACACTCACCTTAACAAATAGCTTGCCACTTCCATGGCCCAAGAGTTCATGAAGGCCAACTTGTACCTCAAAGGATGGGGCTTTAAGCTTTGTAAACAGCTCCTACAGTCAAATGAAATAAAAAGATATCAATTAAATGTCATTTCAATGATAATGCTACATACTGATGACAAGAGAAGAGGTTCAGAGGAACTTCTTCTTAACTATCCAAAGAAAAGTAAAATGTAAATTGAATGAATTTTTACTCAACAGTTTTGAAACTTTTACTAAAGGCAAGCTTGATAACTATGGTTACAAATTCTGTCACAGTGGTTACTCTTAGAAAAAAGTGGGACATTGCATAAGGCAACTCACTTGATCCTCATCACTAAGGAAAGTGACCTTCTTGTCAACTGAATGAGCTGCCAGTACATTTCCCAAAGATACATTTTTAAAGCCTTCTTCTTGACGAATTTCATCATCTAAAATGAGAAAAAAAAAAACAGAACAGCAGCGATTCATATGAATCTCATCTAACCATGCATCCTCCATTTTTGGGTTAATGACTTTGTTTATTCTCCCTACTTGCATGAAGGAATTCATATTCATCTACTTGAGAGAACTAAGAATTTGATCTGGACTTACAATTAGGAATGTTAATTCCAGCCGGTATACCACTGCTTCCAAAGCCCAGCACATCAAGAGAAGTAAAGTCTGGTCTTAAAAACTTGTCCTTCTCATACGCAGGAGGCCATGGCAGCTCAGGAAGCAACTTCTCAGCTTTGGACACTAGTGATGCAAACTTGGCACTCATCTCTTTGTTAACAACTGACACAAACCCTGCAAATGATGATTAAATCAAATCAGCTTTTTGAGTCTGTATTAATGATACTGACATTAATTGTAATCTTGGTATGGAAACCATTGTAAGCCACAGGACAAGAGACATCTCTCTGGATATTTAGGTATTTCATTTAGTACTAAATAAAATAATACATTTAGATGCGTATTTGTTGTGTCCAGTAGCAGTAGGTATGAGGGTATTGTATGTGGTTTATTAAGATTGAAGATACACCAAGTAATTTGGTATTATCAACTGAGTTGATTATGTAAATTGGCCATCATTAAGAGTTTGAAAGCTGGCGTTCCAAGCCTTAGCCCTTCATCTCAAGTATTAGCCTTTCTGACAATGGCCAACTTATATTAACAACTCAGTTAATAATACCAAATTACCTGGTTATAATCTCCCACCAACGCAGAGTCACAGTTTCTTTAGAAACTTAACCCCTTTATTCATTTGAAGATACACAATCAAGTTCACTGATAAGCAAGTGGATACAATGGGTAGCCAGGCAGCTATAGGCTGGTTATTTACAAGATGGGTACAAAAAAACAATTACCATAAAACAAAATTATGTCTTCAATTACCTTCATACTCTGCTCGAACACCTGAAGGGTCTCTGTATGTCTCAATAAATCCTATGTAACTAAAACAATATTTATTTATTATTAAGCAACATACTTAAACATGAACATTTCTACTATAGCTTTAATACCTCATTTACTGACCTCTGTGAAAACAGACAGTAGAAAAATTCTGACCCCTACAATTAGGCCATCACACCCTCCCCTTTCCAAATTCTGGCTGTTTTGGCTCTGACATAAAAGAGGGCCTTTAGATTTTTAGTATCATTTTCCTTTCAATTTTTAAATCCATTGAGTTTGTCTAATCACCAAAAAGCCTTTATAAAGTTGTCGCACACATGCCAGCTCAAATTCTCTGACACTTAGTAAAGACATAGCTAATTTCTTCTAAACAACCAATGCCAGCAATAAGGATACTTCCCTTAAGAAATTCATCACAAAATACTATGTTTGCCTACGTTTCAACAATGGGTCCCTTATCTCTGATCCAGAACCTAGAGCCATCCTTATGAGCCTGAATGGAGCCTGTGTTGAAGCTGTGTATGTAGCTTTTTATCATGGACAGTTCATTGTTATTAGCACTAAATTCCTAGAAGTAAATGCAAGGTATTGAACATATATTCATGTCATATCATCATTATCCATTAAATGTTCTTGCTTGACAATAACTGGTCAAAACAGTCCCATGACTGACTTTGCTCCACATATAACAAGGGAATATTGGAGTATTATTTATTGGCAAGGCAGATTGTTGTCACATTTAATCAGCCTTTTCTACTCCTCAATTTAACTAAGAGGTTCCATTATACCAATTATCTGTTCAGACAACATGACATTTAAGATACAACAAGAACAACAAACATCACAACATGAAAAGAAAAACATTCATTGCTGAATTAATCAAGTGAGAATTGTTCCAAAAGAAATTCTTCCATTTTACCTTAGCTTTCTCTAGATTTTCGACAACTCTTTTTAGTAGACCAGAATAATCTCCTCTCTCCACCCTGAAGGTGCAGCCTTTGAATTCATGAGAACCCAAAACTGTTACTACTTTGTCTTCTTCCCCATCTGCTCCAGGATATGGCTCTGCTTTAAACAAAAGAATCACACAAAAAATTTCATGATGCGCAAAGACATATATACTGCATCAGAAATTTTTAGCAGAGTATTCTACAACAGGAATATATTTAGTTAAGCACAATCATGTTTCACAACCAAATAAAATTTTTATATCCTTGGGGAGGGGGAGGGAGAGAGAGAAGAGATCACAAACCCCACAGGACCCTTGCTAGGTCTTGGGACCTTGGCATCAATTGTAAATGACCAGGAAGTGCTCTTCACCAGCAAAAGAAACGCTAAATTAAGTGCAATGGTTGCAAAACAAGACATATTTCTTTGTTTCATGTTTTTGTTAGCATCCTATACTTGAACTCACCAGTTTTTGCCACTGAAGCTATGCGAAGAATGTATGTCACATGACCATCTTTCTCCTCCTTAAATAATCTTGTGTTATAGGTTTCTATGTCCTGTGGGTTGATATCAATTGTAAAAATAATAAAACATGGTATCACAATGATGAAGCACAGGTCACATTTTCATACATATAATGTTATAATCATGTAAAAACTTCACTGTTGTTATTAGGAGAAAAGTATCATTTATATGTATTGAGTATGGAATAAAATTTCAAGAAAATCAAAAAATGTTCATTAAAGATGGAAGAACAAAGTGAAGAGAAAGTGATGGAAATAACATCACTTTCCATGGCAATTAACATGATGAGCACAGAATTAGGAGGAATCATTTGCAATAAAGATGACAAACAGGTAAGAACAGTTCTAAGATCATGCACATTAAAACCTAGAGCATCTCAGTACGTCCCTCACCTAAATATCCAGAACAGATGTCATCAATCTGTGCATTTGTCTTTAGTTATACTCTTTAGCATACTCTCAAACAGTTAATGAATGACATAAAACTTTCCCCTGAAAGAATTCTTACAAAACATTTCTTGAGACATCCCATTCCTCTTATCATAAAATCATTTGGTAACTTGAAATTGCACTAACCTTTTCTTTCATAAACTCTTGCGCCAATTCAGCATCAGCCTTTGCACAATTACTGGAATAATATGTGGAAAGACCCTGGTAAAAGGGAAATTAAGGTATAATCAGTGTTAATCACAAGTATTTCACTTTTAGCAAAAGAATTAACAACACGTTAAACCAAGCACAACAAAAAGGTAACAAGAGGGTCTCATGAGTTTAGCAGTTCTTTGGCATGAGAGAGCTTGTACTGTAATCCCCAAGACTAATCAACTTTATGTGTAGAGGAGTATCATTTCTCCTTCTTTGCAAAATGCTTATTCCTTGCAGGTACAATTCCTATCAATTTCTCAGGCAGGTCTTCCCAACAATAACTGCAGCATGGTAAATATTTATACTCCTAGGTCACTACAGGCACTGTGATAGTGAAACAATTCATATAGCCAAGAATGCAATTCAGTGACCTGACCAGAGCTGGAACCTAGTACTCTCCCAGGTCAAGATTTCAAAGCTCATACAGGCCACGGTCATTACATCACAGCATCTTTCACCAGAAGGCAAAAAAATTAAGACAGTTGTTGCAAAATTGCAAGATTTAATCAAAACATATCACTTACCTGCTCACCAAGGCCAAGTTGTCGACATTTGGGGGTAAGTGAATACATCATATCTCCACAGTCACTCCACAATTGCTCCACCCTTTTTGCATTTTTCTCATAAGCTTTACTTGAGAAAACTACACTTTCCAATTTTTCCTACAGAATCACAAACAGAACAACAAAAAAAAAAACAGAAAAACAAAATGAACCATAAGTTTTTCTTTAACTCTACACAGGAAAATTTCATAAAAGACTCAAGAAGCAGTACATTAATAGGCCAATAAAGATACCTTTGGTAAATCAGGAACAAACTTTGTGTCGCCAAATGATTTGTAGTTGCCAACATTACCATAGAATGCTGCAGCATAAATCAGAAAATTCTGCAAAACCAATGAGAAATTAAAGACATTAAAAATTACTTTGCAGGTTACTTCCAACAGCAATGGTATTTAACTCTTTACACCCTAATATCAGTATGCATATTCTCCATACTGTTCATCATACATTTCTTAAGGTGCTGACAAGGAGAATTTGTTCAACAATCAAGAGCTCCTTTGGTTGGTGATCATTTCCTTTATTCTCATGACCTTCAGTGTGATTTAGGGGAGATATTGCTGGGAGAAATTAGATGTTAGTCACTATTAGGGGTGAAAGGGTTAAAAAGCTCTAAAGACACCTTCAGCGGGGACAAAAATATTTGTGTGAAGTAACTGCTTTCCGTCGTGGAAAAAGAATTACACCAAAAGGACGTTGAAAAAATCCTTTTCACCACCCCTCCATCAGTCTCCTCTCAGCAAAACTGAAACCAACAGCACCTCTCTGAGAGTCTTTCTAGAATTTAATTCAACATTGCAAGAGGGGAGCAAGAGATATTTGGCTGAGCTGTTTTCAAATACATCCAAAGACCAAAGAATTTCATTGAACATTTGACTGTTTGTCAGTTTACCAGTCAGTCTTTCTATGGTAGGCTGGTTGAAATAGCTGGTACTTAAAATTACTCCAGGCTTTATATCTTAACGGTTACAATTTGTATTATAGGCAAATTTATCTAAGGCTACCTTCCAATATTTTATCAATTTAGTTAAGACAATAGAGACATATGCTTAAAACTTAATAAAGTTAAATATTAATTTTAATCCTTTCACCCCCAGATCTCATTAGTAAATCTCCTTACTGTCTGCCATACAATACTATTATGATAATAGTTAGGAGAATTTGGAATCAGATCAACTAATAATCCCCTAATTCATATTTTCCCTTATTTCTATCATTTGTCTGCTTGATGTTGTACATATTGTTAATTTTAAGGAGAAATTATGTCTCGGTCACTCTTTGGAGTTAAACGTTAATTAATTTATTATCAATTCTTAATTCAATTTTCAATGGATTGGTAGAATTAACACTTGTATTTACCCCTGACCATATGTATTACCTCAAATTCTTCCTTGGAGGGGCCATTTTCGGATTTTAAAACTCTTTCTTGGAGCTCCTCGACAGATTCTGCTTGGAACAATTCTTGTAAAAGAAGGAAAATTCCGGGAGATTCCGGCGACGTTTGGAGCAAACAAATAAGAGCGCCCTCCCATGAGGCACAACACAAGTAATGAGCGTAGAGCTTTTCTTTCTCTGTGAGCCCAGCAAAAGCTGTTCTACAATTAAGAAGATTTACATCAACTTCCTTTGAAATGGTGTACTGAGACATATCCACCTCGCCGGCCATGTTGGTTGAAGAGAAAGATCTGGTGCGAGCTCCTATTAGTCAGCGGTGTCCTCTAATAGGAGATATTCAAGATGGTGGACATTAGTGAACAACAGCTTTTCTCAGAAGTCGTCTTCGTTTTTAGCGGAAAGCGGAAATCAGGAAAAGATTTTGTCGCTGAAAAACTAAAAGAAACATTGGGGCACAATAGATGCGAGATTATCAGGCTTTCTGGACCCCTGAAATACGAATACGCTCGACAGCATGGACTTGAATTTGATCGCTTGCTTGATTCAACAACTTACAAGGAATTGTACCGTCAAGATATGATTCGCTGGGGAGAAGAGAAAAGAAGGGCGGATCCCACATACTTCTGCAAACTAGCGACAAAAATGGTATCCCCTAAAATTCGTGAGGGGAGTCAAACAGTTCAAAAGCCCGTGTGGGTAATATCCGATGCTCGAAGAAAATCAGATGTACATTATTTTAAAACAAATTACGAAAAAGTTGTACATGTTCGGATTGCTGCTTCAGAAGACGTCAGGAAGTCAAGAGGTTGGATGTTTACAGCAGGGGTTGACGATGCCGAGTCTGAATGTGGCCTAGATGATGAAACATTCGATTTCGTTATTCACAACGATGGTCACGATCACGATCAACTAAACAATGAAATTAATTATTTGCTTAAGTATGTTTGTTAATTCTTCTACTCTCATTGAACGAGCATACTTTGGTTAATGGACAGTTTTAAAATAATACAGTCGTCATAATAATTTATCAATTTAGAAACAAAAGATCAAGTCCTCAGAAATGGACACTGGGAATGATAAAAATTAAAAAGTTTCTTTTTTATACATTACTACTGAAAACCAGATGACAGAAAAGAAAACAGTGAAGACGTAAGTAGGAATTAGAACTGCTGAACTGGAGAATCTTTGTTCGCAAATCAAATAGCTGCTCTTAAAATAGCCAATTATGCCCCTTTTTATCACTGATTGTGTGTGAGTCATGACCAATCAAAGTTGATCTTACTTCGACCCAAAAAAAACAATCCTGGGTTGACCTTGTAACAAGTCGTGTCATAGTCAAGTTCATAACTTATCCACACTAGGGGAGCAAATACAGGACTCCTAATAAGATGCCGAAACCCCATGGGGATAGACAGGATCTAAATTTATTGTTGTGATAGAGATAACTGGGATAGAGATGAACAGTTCTTTTAGACCATTAATCTACTTTAAAAGAATGGTCCGGGGTATTGGGTAGGCAAGCTATCTATGGGACTGGGGCAGTCAAGCAAGTGGTAGAACTATAAAGGTTCATTTTCCCTGCTGGCCCACATATTTGTTCTCAACTCTTGTAGCTCTCACTTGAGCACATAAGGGGGCAGGTTTAGTGAGAAGTCCAAAATGCAAATCTTCCGATGTCTGTTACACTAAAAAACCCCATTTTTTTCTTTATTTTCTAAGACACACATCATAAATATTTACTGAGTTAACAGAAAAAAATGACTAGTATGATGCTCAGAACTCAGTAAACCCCAATAAATTGTGTTCCATTAGTTTTCCTTCCAAATGTCATTTATTTTCTAGTTCACCAGTTAACTGGTAATAGGAAACCTACCTAAATGTTAGAATTATTATAAGGATAATGTTCAAGATAGTATTATTAGTATACATTTATATAAAAAAATATTAATTATAAAAGAAGATAGTTAATTACATTTGTAAAAAAAATTTATAAAGAAATTTATAAAGAAATTTAATTGAGAAAAATATTCAGAAAGAGAATCTCTTATTGGAGAGATATTAACCTCCAACACCATACCAATAAGTGCCAGCTCTTTGATAACCAGAGCTATAATTGAGCAGAAACATAAAATGAAAATATTCCTCTCTCTAAATTGTCACACTGTTTGGGTCATTTTAAATAATTGCTCTAGACTATGACCCCTTTGAGTCCAAATAAAAAGAAACACCACTCTTAGCTGAAACCCTTTCACTCCAGAGATTGATATAAATACATACATACACATACTTTATTTATGCTTGAAATTCACAGTGCAGCTGTAGAGCTAATATCTTTGAGAAAATAAGCTAAAATAAAATAAAATATGCCATATTACAAGTCCAATATTATTTATAAACTATACACAACATTATGCATGCAGAGGGAAATATAACTTGTAGATATACTTGTATATCTACTATATGTAGATATAGTTATTCTCTGTATTGTCTGCCATACATTTTGGCTCTGAGAATTTGTTGTTAAATCGAATATTGCTAACTGATATTTCTTCTCACTTCACTTTTCTCACAGAAAACGAACTGAATTTGAAAACAAAAATTTATTTTCCCATCAGTCCTTGGAAATATGCCTTATAGTGCAACTACCATAGCTACGAAATGTTCCACTTTTTCAAGATGCTTGAAGATAAATAAATAAACAGCACCTTACTTTGTAAGTGTCACTGTAAGAATGCACGCTTTCAAATAGTTTTTTCTAGACCAACCAAATCTGCGCTAACTTCCCACAGCTTTTTAGCTGCTCTATCATCTTTTCCCTGATCAGCTGGTTCCTTAGGCTTGCAGTCACTGTAGTACAGTCCAGACTCAACATCATCTGCTACAGCACAAAAAATTGTTGTTTGTGCTCCCTGAAGAGAAGTCTTGAAAAACAACCACGCAAGCGGAGCCAGAGTCAAAGACGCGATTTTGGACTTCGCAAAAGTTGTATGACGAGTTAATTCGGTTTTCACAACACCAGGGTGTACAGCAGCGACTAAAATATCGGTATCTTCCAGGCGTTTGCTCAATTCGCGAGTGAACAAGACATTAGCAAGTTTACTCTGTGAGTAGGCGGAACTTGGGCTGTACTCTTGTTCGCTTTGCAAATCATCAAAGCGAATCTTCCCTCTCACGTGCGCTAGAGAACTGACATTAATGATGCGACTTGGTTGTGATCTTTCCAGCATGTCTAACAGGAGATTTGTCAGAAGGAAGTGGCCCAAGTGATTGACGCCGAGTTGCATCTCAAAGCCATCTTCTGTTTTCCAATATGGACAACGCATGATGCCTGCATTATTGATAAGGATGTCTAGTCGATCTTCAGTTTGATGGAATTCCTCCGCGAATTTTCTCACTGACTTAAGCGACGCAAGATCGAGCACTTTCACGAATACCTTGTCATTTCCTGTTGTTTTTCGTATTTCTTTAGCAGCAGTGTTTGCCTTGTCGAGGTCTCGGCAAGCTAGGATTACACGGGCGCCCCTTCGGGCGAGATCTAAGGCTGTTTCTCGCCCGATTCCTGTGTTTGCCCCAGTGACGATTACTGTCTTACCATTTAGTTTCTCTTTACAATTACAAACTCCTCCAGCGAAGTAATTTCTCAGCAGGAAAATGCCACCAGCACCAGCAGCTACAGTTGACAGAGGTCCTGCTAACTTCCAGATGCCCGCCATGTTAAGTTGACATTTCTTTTATCCTGGCTGATATAAAGCGTCCTTGGAGTTTGACCGCTGCTAATAATGCCTGTAGACTCTACCCTTTTCCCGTGGAACCCTCGCGGTCGCATGCCTTCCACAGGCCCTCAAGTTACTTGGTTGTCCTAAGTGATTTGTTTATATTTAACATTTTTAACAAAAAATTTTAATTTTTTACTCCGAAGATAAATGTTTTAGCTATTGAAAGTCGTTTCTTGAAGCAGTCCTTACGTATGTGGGCTTTGTTATGAGTCTTTCAGAACTGTAAAGGATTTCAGGAATATTGTTTCGGTCTATCTGAAAGTAACTTCCATTGGCAGACGTGCAGAGTTCGTCTGCTGGCCTTAGACCTACTTACATTAAATATTTGTTTGTGCTCTCACAGTCAAAGAGTTTTGATTATATTGGGAGCATCAAGTACGTTGCTATTCATTCTTGAGATCCACCTACTTACAACTGTAAGTCACTGAACTGTAGCAGAGAACAGCCGATTGAAGAAGAGGAACACTCTTCATCTACTTTTCATCTACACACGTCCCAACGAAATCTATAGAAATTTCTCGATGTCTATAATAATATTTGTGTCAGTAGGAAGGCTTGTGTGATTAGTTTTACTTTCTTATGAGCTGTTTTAAATATAGCGAACAAAAGTAATTATAGCAGTCTTTTAATTTATTTCTTTTTCTCGAGGCTACAACCTACATTTTCTCTAAAAAAATGCGCTGTAAATAAAGTTGTTAAAATGAACTACATAATTATCCCTAAACAGCAAAAGATTGTGCTCTTGAGAGCACCATTTGACCAAAGTAAAAGCAAATCAAATCATAAAAACGAGAAACGGTAAGAATTATGATCGACGATGATATTAACAAAATTAGCATAAGAACCATTTCAAAGTCAGTGTTTATCAACTTACTAACTTCCACAAAAACAGCTGCCACTTACTGTGTTGATAACAATTCGGCTTAGGAGAATAAGAGCATTTTCAATCGGAAATCTTGATAAGAATTGCAGAAACTGACAATTTCGACGAATGACAAAAAAGCAAAAATTTAACAAGCTGAAAAATTAGGATATAGAATGATGTAAATTTTAAAGGAAATGAAATAAAATATTAAAAAATTCCCATCCTTTGAGATTCAAATCTCAGCCAGATCAGAAATCGCTGTAAGAGCGGTAATTGATGATAAAAAAACACTTAACATCATTTTCCAAAACTTTCCATTAACTGAAACACCATGGAAAACATATTAATTTTGGTTTGTGTCCTAGGGTTAATCATAACCTGTCAGAGCATTTTAGATTTAAGTGTTTAGACTTCTCAAAACAATTTTGTCACGGTCTGTCAAATGATTGGTCAGATGATATTCAATCATCCGGGCTTGTTTTATTTCAGAGTCTTTTGACCAATCAGTGGTTATGTCTCAGACCTTTTACCTGAGCACTACCGGAATAAAGCAAGCAAATGCCTCTCGGAACTAATTTGCTTCAAGCTGAAACTATAAAGTTGATTTCTGGGGTTGTCTCGTTGTATAATGAGTGTTAAAACGTTAAAAGGATAAATAGAAATCAGTGAGTTTGAAAAATTGAGACTTCAAGAGGACAGTTTTGTTCTATCATCATTACTAAAGCGAAAATCTCGTCACACCAGCAGTTGTAACGATAGCGACATTCCACATTCGCTGCGACTGGAAAGACTTACATTTTAAAATTATCCGTCCTAACGTAAAACAGCTGCATATTATCTCATTGAAAATCTGAGGTAAGGAGTATTTCTTCAACGATCGATTATCGTGTTTCGGTTATCACAATTTTACAGTGCTTTTGATCCGCAGAATACATCAAAGTCAGTTGAACTTGCAGAGCACAAGATGGTATTTGGTGGTCCATTGGAATGCCGAAATTCGACGGCACCTCCAACGCTTTCTTTCTTCTCATCTGCTGTTTCTTCACTACTTATGCTGATAACAGTTCCAGGGAATCTTCTCATTTGTTTAGCAGTTGCTAAAGATCCTTACAAGACACTCAGATCACCCTTCAATCTTTTTCTGTTGAACATTTCAGCAGCGGATCTTGTGGTGGGTTTACTCGTTCTGCCATTGTCCATAGCGTTTCACTTTCTGGAAGGAATAGGTATCATGTTCGCTCCACTGATCAAATCTTTGCATCTTTCCTTCTTCATTTCATGTTCAGCTTCTGTATTGGGCATCGCAGCTTTGAGTTTGGATCGTTATATTTGTGTTACATCTCCCATGAAATACCGCTTGAAGCTGAAATCTTTGCAAGTTAAGAGGGCATCGCTAATCATTTGGCTGATATCTGTGGTTTGTCCCATCACGTATCTGTATGTTGACTTTATAATATACACCTTTGTGTTCGCCAATGGAACTCTTCTTTTTACACTCCTGGTTTTAGCCTTTGTAAACCACAAGATTCACCGCAGTCTCCGAATTCAACGAAAACAGCTTCAAGCTCTCGCGGACGGCAAGGATTTTCAGACGACAGTAGCCAAGCGCGATGCAAGAGTTACAAAAACATTCCTATTCTTTCTTGCCTCATTCATAGTCTTAACCGTTCCTCCCTTGTCGTTCAGTTATGTGTTAAACTTCTGCTCAACGTGCAGCTGCAAAACAATCCACATTCTAAGAGATCTTCAGTTCCTCTCGATATTATTTCCCAGTTCAGTAAATCCTTTTATTTACGCTATAAGGCTGCCAAACTTCAGAAGAGCCATAGCAGTGATATGTTCCACAATCTCAAAATACCAATTTTTCTCAACGAACCCTGGACAACAAATGTGTGAATCTATCTCCAGTGAAGTGCTCGATAGACAGTTTAGAACGATTTCCAAATCCTCACTCGAACAGCCAGAACCAGTGGGCCTGTTCAATGCTGATGCATCTGGAAGGGAAAAAGACGCAAAAATTGACGGAACAAAAAACGCTGAGCGATGGAGCAGCAGTGACACAGTTTTCTATGAGGATCATTTTAGCGAAAATAAGTTGCACTCGGAAAGAGATTTTTATGGGAGGAGTCAATCTCCACGCCAAGAAAGAATTAGTATCTCACAGTTCTACAAGGTTACAACAGTTGTATGAGACCGCATACCTGATATAAAGCAAACTAGAAGATGATGATAATGCTAACGATGATCGAGATGGCAGAATTGATTAATGTCTGTAAACATACGGCAGACAGATATTATCGTTAGGAACAAATTAAAACCAAGGAAATATAAATATGACGTTTTAAAGAATAATAAACTAATCCGTAAAAAGAGTAATATTTAAATGGTTCTAAAATTGCGTAACTACGATAGATGCAGTAAAAAAACAACAACAACAAAATAAACTGTCTTATTACAAAGTCTTAAATCCCATGAATGGCAACCAACTCATTAGCTTGTTCCACGCGTTCAGTTTGTTGACGACGCGCAGGAGTAGCGGTGAAGTAAAAAACGAGTGAGGCCTAGGTCGGGTCGACTCAGTCCAAACTTCCACCGTTTTTACACTCCACCACCACTACCGCGGAGTCGTCGACAAGCCAGCAAACTTGTTGACCTGCACGCTGGCCGACAGTCGAGCAGAACTCGATTGATTGTAGGGCGACGCGTTGAACAACATCGCGTTAAACAGCGTAAAAGGCTATTTTCATTGAGAACTACACATCTCTTGAAGAGTTGGCTAGGAATGGCCAGATCGCACTTTCTTGTCTATGTTTGCGTGCAAACTTCTCCTTTATGGTGCATTTATTGAGGTAACTTGGCAAAAGCTTGCCGTAAGTGCAAATGATGAATGCAGGTACAGTGCAAAAAACTGTAGTTGACTAGTTGGTCGAACTTGGACTGCAGCGGCGTGCTGGAAGGTAATGGCGACAGAGCGGAAACTAGGAACTAGCTTCAACATAGCTTGGCCAGGCCACCAAGCAGAAATATGGCGGCTTGCGTTAACTTGCTGCGGTGCTTAAAATGTCAGAGTAGTTTTAAGGTGAGCCCACAAAAATCTATTCATTTAATCAAAGAAATTAAACTGCATCATAAGAAATATTTCTATTCAGACTGCTAAACTTCAGGATACAATGCCACTTGCATCTCATTATATACACACCGTGAACTTGTAATACTGTGGAATGCTGTATTGAAATTTGTTTTTTTCTGTTTTGTCCATGTATTTGTTTATAAAAGATTTGCTGTTTCTTTCTGTTTTCATTTTTCATGTCCCCAGATGTCCTTTGCAGCAAAGTGTGCGCTCAGGAATTTTACAGGTCATCATTTTGGCTCTGTTTCCAGGTGAGTGTGAGAAAACTACGTGATGAATGAGTAAAGAAACAAATTCATCTTCAGAAATTTCTATCCATAATTTAATCAAATGAATATAACTCCTCATTTACGCAATATTTCCGTTTGTCATCTATACCATGGTAAGTTTTGGCTCTTCCTTGGGTGTTCCTCAAAGTAGTGTAAGTTCGCACATAAAATTTTTTCTCTGAGATGCTTATCATGCACTTCAGATTCTTTGTATTTCATAAATAAACTGCCATAGAAAGAGATAGTACTGCAAAAATGCAGGCCTGCATATTGGTCATATTGCATGCAACTACAGCATGGTCTGCATGCACTAGATCTTGTGAAGTTATACTCTGCATGTTACATTCTTGGTGCAAAAAGCCTGTAAACTTTGCATATGATATAAAGCAAAGAGGTAAAAAGGACTGATGAAGATAATAGTGCTACAACAAAGAAAAACTTCACAGATGTTTTTCAGGGAAACCCTAATTCATTGGCCAAAAGTGTAATTACGTGTGTATTTTTTTGTTTTTACAGATTAGTACTTTTCTCAACAAGGCCCTTGTCAGCCTATTGGCATAAATCAGGTGAGCAAGTGAGACAAGATTTTTGTCTCAGTCAATAATAAATTAAAACACTTTTCCTTACACACATTTAGCATGCACCTTGTGATGTCGATGTCTTAATCATTTTGGCCAGGCAGTTGAGCATATGGACCCTCATGTATTTGCCAGCAATGCCACATACATGCATGCAAAATCCATGTTTACAAGACCTTTAAACACAAATTACATTATTCAACTTGCTTTTTGTCATGGACAGGAACATAAATGTAAAGTATCCAAGATATGATGAATATGATCATTGTTCTGTACAAGAGTACAATGGGACACAGTTTTCCTTAATATTAAAATGTCATTTGTTAGATGTACCATTCAGGCCACTATTACACAGAAAACCAAAGAACAGGTGTGATTTTGCGAGCAAAGCTGACATTGAGGTATTTTGATTGTTTTTATTTTATCCCGAGGCATTATTTTTGCAAAAAAATATTGTCGTACATGATCATCGGTCCAGTGCTCCGAAGAGGAAGCAAATCTAAGACTCTTTGATTATCTACATTTTATACTAAGTACTCTAAGAAATCAGAGGGATTATTTTGAGGAAAACGTAACAGTTTTGGTTTTTCCTTAAAGATGTGTTCAGATCATAATCATGTATATTTCTTGTGAGGTGCTAGTTTCTGCAGTTGTGAATGAACAATTGAAGTTCCATGCCTGTTAAGCTTTTTCTCACACCTTATTTTCTTAGAAAAATCCCATGATAAATTAATTGTTTGATGCCTAGATTGTTTAAAACTGCAGCCCAAATCGGCCTTCTTTTAAATACGCAACTCTTTGTATTTTGTTATTTTTCGATATTGTTAGTGGTCAAGTAAAGTTGTTTCCTTGTGAAATTAGCTTGTGTATTTGTGACTGTTTGCAGATTGAGGAAAACCCGTTTGCCTATAACCATTTACTGATCAAGCTGGAAGGGTTGGACGATGGTGTTCTGGACCATTACTGCCAGTTTGTAACCAGTGCTTCCAAAATGATGAAACTTGAAGTGAAAAAAAAGTAATATTTTTATTGGTTTTCATAATTTTAGCTTCAGCTTGCTTTCAAAATGTCAAATGATTATGATATTTAATGTATACCTTTTTATTGTGGCTGATAAAACTTTGAAGCCCTTTTACTAGTTTTCTTTTTAGAGGTACATAAATTCCGGTGCCTCCTGCCTTGTGGTCCATTTATGAATAAATGTGTCTTTTCTTGTTTTAGATTTAACCTTGTAACAGAGACCTTTAGTCAAACACTGGCCTACCCATTAGACAGCTACAAAAAAGATGGCATCACCTATGATTTTAAAAAGCATGGCTGCATGATTCAGGTTGGAGTTAAAGTTGTCATGTAAATCCTTTTTTAGTCCTTAAAGATGAGACCTATACATATATGGGTTCTCAACCAGTTTTGTGTGGTCAAGATGTCAGAATACTTCACAAGTTTTTTCCAAAAACAAATATTCTGTTTTGTAAATGTGACCAAATTAATTACCCAACCTTTTTGACCAAACAAGAAAGAAAGGATATGTTATATGGCTGAAAAATTACACCAAAGAAATGTTGAATATATTTACCAACCTTGTTTTGGGTGTGTTCAAGACAGGTGACTGTTAGGTTTTGTAACCCCATTGCCATAGTATCATCTTGAAAACTTTTCTCTAGTAGGAAGAGAGGTTCTTCTTGATATAAAGCTGGCAAATTAGGCTCATCGTGCCAGCTCAGATCAATTGGAATTTTTAGCATATTTCAAGACAATTTTCCAATGGTTAGGTTACTCTTTAGAATTCCAAACTGCATTAAGAAGCAAATTTCATCTTGAACCATATCTGGAGCAAACTTTTCCTTTTAACCTGGAACACCTTTGGAATTAACTCCACTAGTAATAGCCTATTGATTTAAGGTGACCCTAGAAGGGATGTAAAATGCACACAAAGGAATACTTCATCCACATGTACAATTCTTTGGATGTAGTTTATCAAGATGCTCACTGTTATTCACAGGTTGCAGAGGTTCCATTCGACAAGTTTGACTTCTTTGTTCAGTATCTACAAGACAATGTTCCTCCTGGTGTCACAGTCCACATGGAACTGGTGAGAAAATGAAGGGATGCATGAAAAAGTCCCAAATTTATTCTGATAGACTGGTAGATTCCCTCAGAAGTACCTTGTGTTCCCTTTTGAATGTTCAAAATGTTGATTTTTAAGAGAGGTTTCAACAAGTCATATTGTAAAAATTGGTAAAATTAACACTGACTTTGAGGTGTGTTCATGTTGTCAAAAAGATACAACTAAACATTTTTCCCTTTGAAGGGAAGGCAATCTCCCTCCATAAAATAATTTTGATGTAGGTGAAGGCGACAAATCTATCTTTATACCCAACTAAACATGCTCACTGATTACTCTTGGTAATGTGTATTTCAGTAAAGTTTATCCATTTAAAACTTTCTCTTCAACTTCATCAACAGAAAAAGTGGCAAGACTTTGTTTCACCACCTGACCCCCTTCTTCTGGAGCTGGAAAGATTGGAGAGAGAAAAGATTGAAGCACGGAAGGGCAAAACCCCACCAAAATAAATGAAACATTCACAAATGAAGAGGCAGGTTGAAAACAAAGTCCTAGTTGTAATGAAGTGACTTTGAAAGTCACTTCTTCTATTCAGTCTCTTCAAGATGGTCTCCAAGGAATTTCACACCTATGGGCACCTTTTGTGGAAACAAATGATAGTATTCAAAATAAGAGGAAAATAAAGTATCATTACAAGTGAATAAAATCTCAAAATGCACATGGAAAAGTGGGTAATGTTTCAAGTCTGGTATCCTCTACAATCTGGCCTGTACATGTGTAGCTTTTCCTCAGCTGTAAGTTTGAGTGGACAATCACCCCCAAGAGGGACCAGCATCTTATTTCCCCTGACAATATTACCCCTCAATAACACTTTAAGGTCAAGAGAATTAAAAAAATGATCACCAACCAGAGAAGCTCTTGATTGGTAAACTAATTCTCATTGTCAGCACCTTAGGAAATGTATGGAGAATATACATACTGACAGTAGGGTATAAAGGTTAAGAAGAGAACAAGAAGGACTGTTCTTCAACATTCCTGAGAAGCCCACTGATTTTCCTTCAGCTTATTTGTTTGTCTCCAGAGACTCAGTGCCTCCCATGAGCTACCTATCAAGCAAGCTGTAACTTCGCTAGGTCACTTGATAAATATGTCAATTGCTGATATTGCTTTTCGATAGACAACACAGAAGTTGAAGTTTTGACTTTATTAAGTGTCAGCAAAACTCAACAATATCACACACCACCCATGCAAGTTGTATCTTTGGCAAAATGCCACACAGCACTTGACTGACTTCAGCCCAAACTGGAAAACATTACACAGTCAAGTAAACATAAATGCTCAAACCAGAGAGGCAAGAACCTTATAGAGAAGAGAAAATATTAGACAACGGAACTCACTGAAGATTATTGATGGGAACTAAAATAAAAATCATTCCTTTTCTTCTAACTGTTGGCAAGCTATGATAAACACCATTGAAAGTAAACATTTCTTCGGGTTGGAAAACTTACATTGTTCAACAGACACTAACAATTGCGTTAAGGTACAATTTACTTTTAATACCACAAAATTAGTTAGCCCAAATGAATAACAATGCAAGTATTTTAGTTTCGGGGAAGAAGCAAGAAATCTTAAGGGAGGGTACTCATTTCAGTGATTACAGTACTTTAAGTTACATAGAAGTCATAACTGAGATGGTGCTGCTAGTCATTCAAGAAACGACTGACAGCTCTCTTTCTCCTGCAAAAGCTCTTCAGCGGTGGCATCCATTTTTTCACGCGAGAAGTCACTAATGGCCAGACCCTTCACTATTTCATATTTATGGTCTGGGGAAATTCTCACTGGGAATGAGTACACAATATCTTTTGGAATTCCATAAGAACCATCTGACACCACGCCCATGGAAACAAACTCCCCCTGTAAAGAAATGTTACAAGAGCTTAACAAAATCAAATCAAATACAAGTAAAGGACTGCTGACATGCAAATGAAATTGTTTCTATCGACAAGGGAAAAATCTTACTCTCCCATTTACAGTTGACCCCCCTTTAGATTGTATGTTACTGTTGCCCAATTATTATGGCATTCAATCCTGGCCAAAATTCAAGTTTAATGTTCAACATCCAAGTTTTGTTTTCAATATTCAAGATTTGATGTGAACTTCACACTTGACTGACTCAGTCACTCCAGGGGATTTAGAAGTAGTCTACACAAAAACAGAGGATGACACTGACGGTGTGTTTTGATTGGCTATTCAAACTCCCCCTATCCTATATTACTCACCCCTAAAAAACTCATGCTGGATTTGTGCCCAAAAATATGGTAATGGTTGCAAGAATAACTGAATTAAAATCATATTTTTGTGCAATATGATCTGTCACTTTTTCTGCACATACTTATACAACATTTCACCTCAGTGTTGGTGGTTAACAATTGATAGTTACCTCCCCCTTTGCAGCTCAATCAATATCCATCACCAGCCACCTCCACTTTGGAGAATAGTTGTTAAATCATTATGAGAGAGGATCCTATGATCCCTGATATAAAAGTTACCTCAGCTGTTCCAAACCACCAGTTTCTCATGTGATCACATATTGCCTTGGCAGCTGACATGGCGCTGGATAACTTACGAGCAGCAATGATAGCAGCACCACGCTTTTGCACTTTCTGAAGAGAGAATCCATTTTAGTATTTCTCCCAATCAGTGGCACAAATATGCAGGAGTAATGACGTAAACTTCTGTTTAATACAGCTACTAACTTTGAGTAATTACATTTAGTTGCACAAGCAAGCTTCATTTTGCGCAGCATGACAGCTACTTTACCAAATGAGTTGATAAATAATTGTAAATTGGCCACTGCAGAGAGATTCTAAAGCTGAGGTTTCAAGCATCAGCCCTTCATCAGAGCCCTTTGTTGTAAGCCTGTTGCTCTGAAGAAGGACTAATCCTTAAAATGTCAACTTTATAAACTCTTTACCCTGGCCAATTTTACAATAGCAACTCAGTTGATAAAACCAAGTTGTCCTGAAAATAAATTAGTCTACCTAGCACCACACCACACCCCAAAACAACAAATGAATGTACCAGCCCACAATATCAAGGAACTTACTGTAATAAATTCCCCATTCAAAAAACTGTCATCACTGACAGCCTCCCTGATTGATATGCATCCCTGTGGCATATTAACAGTCCCATGATTGACATCTGGGTACTGAGTGGAAGAGTGATTTCCCCAGATAATGATGTTTTTTACATCTTCAACTTGAGTGCCCACTCTCATTGCAATCTGCAAAGGCCAATAAAATTTTTCTTGTAATAAAATATTAATCATTTGTTAGAGGAATAGGAGAGGAAGTATTTGCTTTCTTTGTCAAGTTGGATAACTCAGAAGTTTGGAATTTGAGGTACATGCTCCAAAACTTAGCAACATATGGCATAAAGGCCATGTTAATTAGTTTCTATTGTCAAAGATTTTTCAAGGCTTTCATAATAATTGAAAAGTCTCTAATATTGCCTAAAATATGTTTGGTGAAGGGTACTCTCATTGAATTCAGTTACCTTATAAAGATATCACTCAGAAATCAGCACTGGTTGCAGCTTGGAAAACAATTCTTCACTATTTCTTATCTTAATAAGTTAGGATTTTATGTTCCAAACTCATTCCAGCTCTTTTTCAAAACTTCAAGAGTGTAAAAACCCTGATATGGCCAAGATCAGCATGGAGCGAATACAAAAGTTGTGCCTCCATCTGACTTACAAACCAAGTGATTCAGGATAAATTACTCTCTTACTGATTGCCTATCTCGTTTACCTGTGCCCTCGCTCTGTTCATATCCAGTCGCGTCAAGCATGTAAAATTTTCAGGAGGAATGGACGGAGCATTCATCTTGGCCATCATGCAGTTTGTGTTTGCTGGGTTTCCAACAACCAAAACCTGTGAAATTAAATCCATTAACAAGGAGTTATTAAGCACCATCAAAATATCTATATCATTCACAAATGTTTTCAGAGGGCTTCATTTAGTTTGTTCCTAGAAGAAACTGTCCTGTAAAAAGCATGGTCTCAATAAATTTTTTTATTGATGTGAATACTAAGTACCATTACAATTAAGACTTGAGGATTCAAGTAAAGCCAGTTTGGTTTTAATAAGCCCAGAATTAGGAGAAGACTTTGATCTCAGTTAACGCTTCATCTCCCATGAGTGACCAACACAGAACGTCTTCTCACAATATCAATTCAATATCAAGCTATGAAAACAAAAAAAAAATCTTTGAAGTGAAAGGGAAAACCAAGTAGTGGAGGATTTGGGTTGGGGGCTTATAACCATGAATTGTAGTAAAATGATGAACAACAACAATAGAATGGTTGCTTTCACCAGCATAGTACCTTGACAGTTTTCTTGGCGTAATCATTCAGAGCCTTTCCCTGTGCAACAAAGATCTTAGCATTGGCTTTCAGAAGATCTTTTCTCTCCATTCCTTGTTTTCGCGGCATGGCTCCAACAAGAATGGCCACATCAATGTTGGCAAATGCCACACTTGGCTCGGATGTCGCAATTATGTCTGACAGAGATAAATAGAGGATACAATGTACATGTTATGTTCCTTGTATAGCAGATATCATTGTTAACCCTTTCACCCCTTAGAGTGACTAGCATCTAATTTCTCCTTACAATATCATCCTTAAATCATACATTAAGGTTACGAGAGTAATGGAAATGATCAACAAGTACAAGAGCTCTTGATTATTAAGCAAATTCTTCTTGTCAGCACCTTAGGAAATTTATAGAGAACAGTATGGAGAATATGTCTACTGATCTTAGGGTGTAAAGGGTTAACCTGACATAGGTGTGCTGGAATGTGACTCTATTTTGTATATCCACAACTCTATTAAATACACAAAGGACTGTAAAGAATTAAGTCCAAGGTGACTTTTCCTGCAACATCAAAATCTTCTTTAATTTCAAATGAAAATTCAAGAAAATTTGCAGAGAGAATGTCTCAGTGCATCAGAAGTTTTTGCACAGCCTAACCCTAAGCACCCTTGAAATATAGAATAACAAACATTCATTCAGGGAGCTGGATGGTAAACTGAGTATTGCTTCATCTCCAAGTCAAAGTCTAATAGACTATTATTTTACAAGATTGAGAGTTTCTCTTGTTATAACCCTTTAACTCCTACATCAAATTTGTAATTCTCCTTACTTCCAACCATACAATTCTTATAGTGTTAGTTAAGAGAATTTAGTATTGGATCAACTAATTTCCCCTAAATCTATATTTTTCTCTATTCTCATTACTTAGCTGGTTAATATTGTATTGATATTGTAAGGAGAAATTCTGTCTTGGTCACTCATGGGAGTTAAAGGGTTAAAGGATTCTTACTTTGCAACAATGGAAAGGCACAGTCCTGTAATTCCATCACTACGCCTTCCAAGACAGGCATCATAGGAACAATATCCAATAAGTGCACAATCAGTGGCTGAGGAAAAGAATACATCCATTATTTATGGTCTGAAGACACCAAAAACATTGAAGAAATGTTGAGGAACCACAACAAGTGACTTCTATTGGCTCATTTTGTTTAAAAATTGGATTCATTTTCTAAAGCCTAACACTGATCTAGTTAGTGATATCCTTTATTCTTACCTGCTGTGTTCCAAACACATCTCCTTTGCAAATGGAATAAAGAAGGGAATAAGCAATCTGTCCAGCAGCACCAGTGATACAAATACACAAAGCTTCTTTCTCCTAAAAAATAAAAGTAATTGTGCAAATTTCTCTGGTTCTTGATTGCATTCTCCTAAAAATTATCAATCTCATAAAATTATTTTGTGGACTTCTCACAAATTTTGGCTCTTGCACTCGCCTGTGATTTTGAGAAGACAGACAGAGATAAAATGTTGTGATTTCACTTTATCAATAGTACAATTTTGACATAATTTCCCTTGTTTCAACAGGAAAAATTCATTTAAATATGATATCAATTTGTTTAACACTAAGCATGCATAAACTGAAAAACATGCCAACCTTTACAAAAAACCACTTAAGTTTTGGACCTTTCTCATTCCTGTGTCCAACAGGAGTTTGAACCACGAACATTTGCCAAGATTTTTTTTCAGTGGTCTCTCTAAACTCACAGTCCAAAGGGGAGAAATGTAGCAGTAGATGGGAAAAGGAAAGAACTGATCCAACCATCCTCTTGGAGAGAGGGATCCAAAACACAGTATCACCCCACCCCTCCAAGATCTTCCCATTTTTAAATTCTTACTTTTAAAACACAATTTGCTTACCCCCAAAATCCCCAAAAACGTGCGACCCCATTCTGGTAATTCTATTAAAAATACGACTCTGTTCTTTTCACCCAGTAAAAATGTAGTTGCTAGTAGTTAATATAAATAAGCTTGTCTAACATCGAAAATTTGTCCTAAACGCAAGGGTAAGTTTGTCCCATGCAAATTATATTTCAGAACTTGCGAAATGCAAACTACGTGGTCAATGAATCAGAAAGAAGGCCATGTGGTAGATTATTCAGTAATTAAACCTCAGAGCTTTAAGTAAAGTGCTTAATTTTTAGAAAATACATTTAACCTTGAGGGAACGAAGTAAGAAGCAAAGTCCAGAGTTAAGAAGTTATATATTCTAGTCACAGGGGCCGGGCTGAACATCCGAAAAAATTCCCAGTCTTAAGCATAAGTCAAACTGTCGGATTATGGTAAAACTACGGCCAGTTAAGGCCTAATTAGTTGGAGCAAAGATGAAAAGAGTGCGTAGGGTATTTAAATTTTTGTATACCCACCATCGCGCTTGAGTTCAAGTCCACTTCGAATAAAGACGTTAATAATCGAACCAAATGCGCCACGAAACACGATTGCACAAATACTGGTACTAGACACTAAGGAGGGCGAGGGGAACTGTGGGTACTAGGCGTGACTTGTCTGTCACAATAGAATCACATGACAAGGACAAAAACTGCTCCGATCGTTCTTTCCATAAAATCAGCATGTGATCCTTATATCTACAGCATATGGTACAAATGAAATATGAATTTTTCGTTATCAAACTTCGCACGTCAACGAAAGTAGAGGAAGTTAGTCTGGGGATCGAAATCACCCAAGTTAAATGTTTCGTATTGTGTCACGCAACTTCAAAGTACAACCATCAAGTTATTTTGGCGAGAGGAAGCTGGGTCGAGACACACCCCAGACACTCCCAAGTCGTCGCACCCGGCATCGTGCATGTCTCTCGCTCCATAACGAGAGGATTTTTTCTCTCTTCCCCGAGAATGATACAGACAGTTACTAATGAAAGAGAACAATGATCGCGTTTCAGCTCTCAGAGCAAGTTCGTTCTAAAAAGTCGAAAATTATTTTCTGCTTTTTTATGCCGTTCCTCGTTGGCAAACTCTGATATTATCAAGAACCCAAACCTTGGGGAGGCGGGGAGGGGGAAGTTGTCCTCTACTAAAAAGCTGAGTCAAGCTTTTTTATTTGCATATCAATGTAGATCATTCAAGCACATCTTAGTGCTTAATCAACGGAACGGTCCCCAATATAGGCTTAGTCATGTAGGAACAATGCGATCCTTTAACCCTTATCTCAAACAAAATTCCCGAATCAAAAATCTTCACACATGAAGAATGCCGATTACATTTGTCGTCTTGAAGGGGTCGAGAGAGGGCTGGCACTAGGCTCCACCTTAACCTAGGCCAGGAGCCCATGATGGGCTCCTGCCTAAGCTCAATTCTTTTTCGAAGCCTATTCATTTTTTTATTTTCTTCTTCATTCACATATTAACAACCTATTTTACTATACGATGACGATAACATAGTTCAGGAACTCTTTGGAAGTATACTGTTGCATTTGATATGGTCTACATTGCTTGCAAGTTTTACGTTTGGATAACATACTCAACGACTGACAAGAATAAAACTGTAATCAAACGAAACAATGCCGCATGTTTTACGAGGAAAATAGCGATTTTTAACTGCATATGTGAAAGATGCTTTTACTTTCAAGCGGAGTCTACAGTTGTAAGACGGTCTCAATGGGCTATAACCGCAAGCTGTAAAAACGGCAGAAAGAAATAGCCGTTTGGAGTGAAAATTGACAAATTTTAGCCATTAGTCATAAGGAAGATTACCCGGAAAAAAAGGCTTTTTTTAAAACTAACGGGAAGAAATGAACCATTAGTTTTAAGATCCATCGCCCATTGAGACCCTCTTGTATAATTTTACAAAGGTAATTCTACAATTGAAATTTACGCTTGTGTACTAAGTCGAGATACACGTGTAAATTCCAGCATGGAAATTGTTTTACTAAATTCTTATAATTACAGGTCGGACTTTACCCGTGTATATCACACATGTAAAAATTAGTCTTTGAAACAACTCCGCAGAAGTTCCTTTTTTAAATATTCCGCCCACTTCAGTGTCAAAGAGAATTCAAACGTTACTTTCATACTGTTGAGTGACATTTTGTCCATTTTCTTTCTCTTGACCCGGTACAAGTTTCTCGGGGGGTCGTAATTCGATTGGAAAAGAGGAAATAATGCGACAGGAACCAGCATCGTTTTGGTCTTTTAAGGAGGGATGAAAAACACCGTAATAAACTAATAAGGAGAGCAGACCAAACAAAAATAAGCCCCACTCTGCTATCAACATCATCACCTTATAAGAATGCTTCTGGTCGCTATAGAAATACCACATCAACACTAAGATGGAGTTTTCGATGAACGTCACCATATAATAAGGGCCTCCCCACTTTCGAGTGTCTTTGCCCGCCAATGGAAAGAAACAAAACACGCTTACGAAACTAAACGCAAATCTGAGAATTTTGTCGTATACCGATCCTTCTTCGAAGTAATTATTTGGCTGTCCACGTAAAAGCAAGTAGGAGAACAACAAATGGACACAAACGACGGCGAAAACCCAGGCTTGGTAAAGAGAAGCGAAAAGCACCAAAGCCAGGGTACGAGAAGCAACCATAAACAAACGCCAAGCGAAGTGAAAAAGAGAGGCAAAGCTGAAGAGTTCCAATAATTGGCTGTCTTCTCTTCCTAAGCGTAACATTCTGCCATAATTGAGCAGATTAAAGGAGAAGAAACTTAAAGACTTGATGATGTTCACTAAAATAAACCAATCCGCAAAAGATGTCCAGTCCAAATTTGATTTCTGAACCAGGATGTACATCTGTAGGGCAACCTAAAGATAAAAATGATATTTAACAACTGTCCGCCGACGTAGCTGGTGGTGGATATTTACCGAGCCGGGTGCGGCTAAGTAAATATCTACCGCTAGCCACTCACATTGAGGTGAATAATTCTCTCAGTATATATATATACTAAAACAGTGACATCATACCGCAAAAAGAGATGATTTTAATTCATTTATCCCAGCATACCTTGCGCACGTTGCTCGGAGGTGAATAGTAAAGGATATTCGCGGTTTGAGTAGCCAATCAAAGTGCGCCCACATTTCTATCTACTAATGAAAGATGTTTTTCGTCTTTTCGCGAGTATGGAACGAAAAAAAAAATTACCATCTGTCTTATTCTATCTTTATCCACTGTTTTAATAAGTCTAAACTTATTAGTTTTATTTTTTCACTTTGTTCCTCCAAAAAGTAAGCCGGTCTTTTTCATCAACCGCACATGTTATGATAGCTTTCTTTGATTAAGGGAAACGCCTACTGGAACAATTTTCGATTGAATTTTGAAATAGGCCCAATGAATGATTGGTTTTGCTTTATTTAGCTTGGTTTTACTTCGCTTGGTAATTAGTTCAGAAAACTCGCAACAATCTCTGAACCAATCAGATGCGGGACTCAAAACTTGCATTACATGTTTTTCCGCCTATCAGGTTGGCTGCTTGTTTTTACTTTGGGTTCTCAGAGGCTTTCAGGAAAATTTGCTTTTGGTTCCTTTGTCGTGATTACTCTCCTTTTAGTCTGGAATTTTAATTCGGTTACTATGACTATTCGTGGTGAATTTGACGCTAGTCTCGTACCCTGGCCTTTCACGGCCAAGCGGTTGTAAGGTCCCTACATTTCAGTTACAATTACATGGTAGGATCTGAGTTCGAGATTTCTTTAACGCCTGTTTCCCATTTCAAGGGAAATCGATTCAAAACTTTCGCGAGGAGTAAAACAACTGCTATTTCAAATTTAACGGATAGAAAACCCTACGCAGTTCCTGAGTCCTAACCCCTAACCCTTGGACGAAGAAAAGAAAAATTTTCCCCAGTCCCCTAACGGCTTCACCTACCTGGGGTGCTTCTTCGGTAAACGCTTCCACAACGCTCAATGTACTTGTGTCTACTTGTTGGGATATATACAACCGATACAACTCACTATTTTCTTTATGCGGCGTAGAAATTCTTCTTATGAAACGCACAGTCTTGAGTATCTGAAACAATCTTTTAGAAAAACATACTTAAATTAACTCCAAGAGCGTCCGAAAGCGAGGAAACTTCTAACAACAATCAATTTAAGAGTGTTTCTTTTGAAGTCGACAAACAGCAGTTTGAGCAAATCCTATGAGGAAACAGCTTTAAAAAGTACCATAGCTTTGGTGTAAATTGGGTATTAGTTAAGCGCACAGCTTACAAGCTCTGAGATTGTCATTCATACAACGAGCGACCAAAAAAAATAATGACAAAATCATCCACTGCTCAGCATATCATTTAGGTAACGAGTGAATGAAGCCACACCAACAACTAACTTTTGAAGAAAGGCTCATCTCTAAGAACCTCACCCTTACCGCGGGATCTTTACTGTGCTCGGAATCACCCATAGACATGTGGCTCGGAAAAATTTTAACCAAGAAATTTAAAATCTCATTTGAGTTAAACTCTTTACCTAACCTTACCGTAGAAAACGACCGCAAAAGATCAAATGGACAGCATAAAACCAAGGCTTCACTTGTAATTGGAAATATTTCAGCCACGAACTTTTTCCTTCATTTGTTTGATCGTCACGGTAAAATATGGCTGACAAGACCTCAATAAAAACCAGTGAAAATATGACTACGGCCAGCGTATATGCTGCCCATTTGTGGTTCCCCTCTCTGTAGTGCGTTGCAGCCATTTCGCAGTCCATAACAACATCGACAAGGAACATCAAAGCTGTAAATAAAGGGGTCACTAGGCCAAATCGGCTGCACTGTCCCCTCTGTTGCCAAAGTTTCGCTTCAGGATCCACCTCCGTAAAATCGGGTCGATGGTCTGCAACTCGTTTAAAAAGTTCGCAGCAACATGTTTTTGACCTAGCATCGACAGATTCAACCATTTTATTCTCTGCAGAAAAAATTACGAGTTAAGGAATACTCGAGAAGGCCCTCGGCCTCATAGACTAGGCGAGTACAAGTAACCGATATCATGTTACCAGCACTAACAGTTTTGAAAATTGCGCTATTTTTTCTTAACGTTTGCTTTTCAAATAAGAAACACAAATCATAACCAAATTATATATTTACTGTTAAAAAAGCATAATATTTCCGTCCTCTGTTAAAACACAACGACTGACATTTTGTTCCTTATAAAGGGAGGAATTGGGACCAACGCAGTCTCTACTTTCGGTGCGCCCAGTCCTCTCAACAAGGAGCGACGCAGCAATTAGCCTACGTGTTAATGACATGTAAATGAGTGGCAGGGTATTCTGTAGCCATTCCCCCCCATACATCACTGTTCAATTGCACGTGAAACTGAAACTAAGAAAGGTTCGATAATATTGTCATTCAAAAACTCACCGAAAAATTCCTATTTCAATACAGCTTTCAGACCTCGGTGAAACAAATTCCTCCTTGGATTATCTTAAGAATGATTCGAGAAGAAAGTTTAAGTACAGTTTTGGCAAATTTGATCGCTGAAATTTCGATTTCCTGAGTCAATTTGAGATAGTTCAAAGTCTACATGACGAAGTCCAAACACACCGCTCATACTACAGCGTTTAACAATAAAATTTGTTAAGCTTGTACATTCCAGTTATCCTCTGAGTAAAGCACACGATTTCATCCATTTACCAACCTTTTATGAATGGCTCTTCTTTCCACACTAGCAGCGTCAAGCTGCTCTGGCAATTACCAGACTGCTTATAGGCCACCGCACGTGAAATATGATCGCTTTGAAATAGAAAGCTCATTCCTGATGACCGGAAGTGTGGTTAAATTTATAACTTCTGGGAATTTACCCAAAGTCAACACCCGAAAGCCTCTCCCATTCCTCTTTGGACTAAAAAGAGGAAGTCAGAGCTTTGCCAGATGGTATTTTCGGTTTCCATGAAAATAATTTAATTACAAGACTCTGGAAAGAAAATAAACACAGTTTGATTTGCATAAATTTTACTTTGCCGATAGGTGACAGTTCATCTCGTTTATTTTCGATCTCAGCCTTGAAATTTAATAAACGAAGAGATAGGAATGACGAGAAAAAGATAGCACTTTAGAATCAGCACGTTCCTTGTCACGGCTCTTTGACTCGTGACCGATCGATTTTTATTGCGTGATGTGAAAGGAACGTGACTTATGAAGTCCAGCGAACCAAAGACTAATCCGTCAGTGACAGCTATTTACTTTCGAATTTAAAAAAGAAGGGAGATCAATCATACTTGGTCTTGTTCTGCGTGTGCAAACCTGCGTCCATGAGGATTTGATAGCTAAGATTTCAACCCTCGACTGACTGAGGATTTTATGAAAAACAAAAGAAAATGAAAATTGACTAAAACAAGAAGGCAATTTAGAGTTATCAACTGAGTTGATAACACTAAAGTACTTATAGTTTGTTTAGAAACTTACCCCCTTTATTAAGATAAGAAGACTTTTCACTGATGTATTTACTTCAATTTTCGAAAAGGTCCTAAAACAACCTGACAGAAAAAAATTTGTTAAAGGAGACCGGCAACATCTAGTCACCAATCTAATCTATCAGGAGTCCAAACAGGAGTAATGGGCTCCTGAATCTATTTATTTTTAAATGTGACATTGAGGCACCTTTTTTGTACTGGCGAGGAGTAGAAGGGGGGTGGGGTGGGGGATGTTTGTGGACCAATACCACTAGGGTGACAAACATAAAATGACCGCCACGAAAAATGTCACAATATTTTTCCAGAGCCTTTTTAAGGTTATCAATATTGATGAAGTGACAAGCAGCTGTAATACAAACAATTTTTATTGCCAGTTTTTTGTTGGTTTTGTATTCGTAGTTCTCAGTGGGCGGTAAAAATGAGTCATTACTTAGGCTCCTGGTCTGTACCACTCCCGAAAAAAAACCATATTCTGTTCCCTCACACGTCGTTGACATTACAAGTCGAAGAACTCTGATGCATGGAGCCGTTTTCAGTCACGCTCTGGATCTGCCTCGCTGATCTTTCCGTAGTCAGATAAGATGAAGGATGAAAACAGCGATAGAATAAAACTAGAGAAGTTATTCCGATTGCAAAAGTCGTCCATTCTGCAGTCAGCATTGTTATTCTGAATTTCAGGTTGTAACTGGCCACAAAGTTCCACAGAAGAACTATAGCACTGTTTTCGATAAAAGTCACTATGTAATACGGATAACCCCATTTCCGAGTGTTTTTGCCTTCCAGTGGAAAGAAGCAGAACATATGGACATACGCAATAGCACATCTGAATAATTTCTGTTTAATCGGAGCGCCCTCGAAATATTCGCAATTCTGTCTCCATAGCAGGGCGTATGATAAAATAAAGTGAATTCCGGCAACCACAAACACGAAGCGAGTGAAATGAGAAGCAAACAGAGCGAGAGCTAAGATCCTGGATGTGAGCATAAACAGACGCCACACGAAATACAAAAGCGAACTAAAACTACACCAACTCATCTGCGGACTTTCTTCATCTCCGTCCCTGAGATATCGTGCATAGATCACAAGGTGTAAGGCGAAGAGAGCAAGGGACTTTGGGATGCTGAGAACAACAATCAGATCTTCAAACGATCCTAAGTCTACGCTCCCTCGTCGCAGTAAGATGTAAATTTGTAAGGCGACCTATTGGACAAAAATGGGAAGAATTAAGAGATTAGCTGTTGGATGAGGATTTTGAAGTTAAAATATCATAAAACATGTAGCACTTATCAGCTTTATCTTACTTTATGTTTTTAAGATCAGTATACGCTGGAAAAAATTTTATCGGATTCGTTTTTTTGAACTTCTCGGGGGGGTGGAAGAGCGCGGACTCATCTCCTGAAGAGAGGCGAGGAAACCCGATGCGCGCGCAAGGGGAAAGCCCGAAGGATGTAGAAAAGGGCGAGAGCCACTCTTTTTTCAGGCTGCAACCTAAGGCCTCCGAGAATTGTAGGAATGTCAATAAGTTTTTCCCACTTATTTGCATTGAACGATGATGATACGCAATCCTATGTCTGTCGGAGACTTTGTCAGACACATGTCAGATGATGAGTGTGAACATTATGTCAAGAGCTAGAAGCACCGCCTGTTGTGATTTTGAGACATTGATCGGTTTACATGATCAACGCAACCTTTAATGACCTTTTAAATCAGTACTTAGCAACAACCAATCACAATGTAGAGAATATCGTGTAAGAGAGTGATTTCTTACAAATTTTGCAGAGTAGCTTTCTACACACCCGTTGTACATAAGCGAATACGAGAGTGGAATAAAACAGTTTGATTGAGTCTAGTTCGTTAGAATTCTATCCCTAGTAAACGGGGCAAAGTTTACAAAATGTCAAGGGGCGATCATTTCCCAGAAATTAAACCTTCTCACATCGGGATGACTAAAAATCATTTCCCCTTGCAATGTCACCCTCTGAATCAAACGCTACAGTCTCCGTGTCAGGACCATTTGAAAAGTATAAAGGCAGGAGCCAAGTAATGGGCTCCTGATAAGGGACAGTATGGAGAATATGCATTCTAATGTTAGGGATGAAAAGGGTCACCTGAGGTGCTTCTTCCATAAACGCCTCTAAGACACCAAGAGTACTTGCGTCTTGCAGTTGAGCAATGTACAGGCGGTAACGTTCTTTATCATCCGATGTTTGGCCTTTGATGCGTCGTATAAGACGCACGGTTTTAAATATTTGGCAGCATCTGCAAAGATAAAACAACTTTGTAATATTTATGCTTCTAAATGTTTGCAATTGAGCCGAGTGGCCCATTCAGCCGAAGTGTGTTTCATTTCCATTCCCCGATGTGATGACAATCTACCGCGAGGAAGGTCACCGTCAACCCCCCCTGCATTTCGTCAGGCTCCCGAGACAGTGTAATCATTTATATTCCGAAGTTGAGAGACATATTGTGTGAGTCGAGTGTCTAGTCCAAGAACACAGCACAACGAATCTGTCAGGTCTGTCATCTGCAGTAGCCGATGATAAAAATAAATGAATTTAATAATTTGTGTCTAGCGCTCTGTTAGATAGTAAAGTAACTTGCGTCCAGTTACGCAAGTCACATCACACAAGATATGGACGAATTTATGTGTGAAAAAGCGTGAAGTTTGAGTTTTGGTGTGTTTCTTTCTTTACCCTACTGGATAAATTTTTCGCTCAGGGTTAGTGTTACGGTATATGACTTTCAAAATATTCTCTAAGAACCGGCAGGTGACCTTGCAAAACCAGCTCGTGTCATATGACAATGGATCTATCTCCTGTGTAAAGTGATTATTACACAATTGTATGCGATATTACATCATTCTAAATACTATAAACTTATCCTAAGAAAAGCCTATAGACTTACAGAATGTTACTTTAAATTTGGGGTTTGTACTAACTGCAGATCGAGTTAAACAGGTAAACATTTGCTTCTATAAAACTAAAACACAGAAGGATGGTCAAGAAACATTACGAGTTAAGGCAGCTATACCAAACTGTCCCTACCTTAAGAGAGTTCCACACAGGATAAAATGACACAAATAATGCCACTTTTTTATTTCCAATCCGTGTTTCTTAAGGATTTCCTTCTTATAACCCTTTTCATCCTCCAAATACCAGTTCGCAGACACTATTTCGATAATGACAACCGAAATTATTACAAAGGCGAGCGTGAGCGAAGCCCAGATGTCATCACCACGGCGATAATGAGACACCGCCACTCTCACATCCATTGCCGTATCCACTAAAGCCAGAAGCAAAGTTAAAAACGGAAACATGAGGTTGAACCGCGAGCATTTCCCACGTTCGTACCATCTCCTCGCCTCGGGATCTTTTGGGGGTATGTACGGTCGAGTGTCACTTATCCAGTTTAAAATCCGTCCACATGAACCCGAGAAACATCGACACATGCAATCATGACCTTGCGATGAACAGTCTGTTTCAACCATTTGTCTCCTGCACTGCGAGCTAAATATTAGACGGAGAGAACGAAAATCGAGTAACTGCGAATGTAGAAAAGAGAAGATTGCATGTTTCATCGATTATGACTCACCGCAAGGTTGCATGCAACAACAGAGAGCGACCAATGGCTTGAATGAGCGTTTATTACAGATTAAAGCATGCACAAACTCATCGCCAGATTCCATAATCAAATGTTGATTACGTGACTAGAGATATTATTGGAAGATGTGGTCACTAGACAGTTTTTTCATGTTAGGCATTGAGAACAAAATAAAAACATTGTTATGTAACTGATCTATATTTGTTACTTTTATCATCATAACATCGTGTTTTGAATCAGGTGATACTGTACTATGTTGTTATTTCATTGAAACACTTTTTAAAGTAGTTGTTGACTCGGAATTTTATCTTTTTTTTATTATGCTTTACATTTATGACACAAACTTTTTCGTTATAAAGCAATCTGCTGAATGGCAGTGTTACAGTCTTTTAGCGTAACACCGCACAAAACACTTAAGAAAGCTTAACTAAATAATGAAAGGTGTGAATACGAAAAACTCCTTTTGTGACGCCATCTGTTACACAAAAGGAAATGAACGCCCTGATCACAAACACTTCCTGTTTTTACCGGAAACCAGTCACACCAAACAAAAGCGACTCGCGCATTAGTTCTGTCCTACAGAACACATTTCACTCGCAGAACCAAGTGAGACACAAAGCAAGAACGTTAAAAAGGGCCAAGAGACGCAAAGAAAGCAACGATGGTGGAAAAAAGTATCACATCAGAGAGAACCTATCCTCGATCAGATGGTGCGTATTAAAATTAACATTTGCTATCTAATCCAACAAATATTTCGTTATCGTGCCGCTCCAGCGGAAGAAGGACACATCATGCTTTCGGATGTGCCGTTTATTCATTTATACGGTACTTTATCGTGAAGTTGTTTTCTTGCTTTATTTTAATGCATTGTGTCAGATTTTGGATAAAGCGAACTGATTTGTGTTGATCAGCCTCCAAATATTTCAATATGGTAACATTCAGTTGCATTGGCAATACGAGAGCAATGCATGACTTTCCTTGCTTTTTAAGAGATGAATTTATTACTTTATGCTTCTTAAACGGAAGTTGGTTGCCAGCTTGACTCTATTTATCGAGCCATAATAGCCTCTGAGAATTGCTGAGAGCAATCGAATAAGCTTAATTGTTTTCGTTTCAAATATTTAGTAGCGATTAGCGATGAGTGCTGTTTCGCAATATAATTACTTCTTCCTTATGTTTCTGTTTTTTGGAAAATCGATACGGAATGAATTGCATCAATCTAACGACTTTTTCAGCGTATAAATTATATCCTATATTTCTTAAAATTGTGGAAACTAGCTAGTGCTCACAATGAATTACTATATTTCTCTCCGCCATATTGAATAATGCTTGGTAACCTGGCTGTTTACTACAGCGTTTAGAAGAATTTAATGAGCCAATTTTTAATTTTAATTTGTTTGTTTTTTTTTTGCAACTGTCATCCAACCCAACACCAAATTTAGTTTTATAACATCATTTCGTGAAATTGTGAGAAAAGAACTTTTCGTCTTGCTCTCAAAATTGCCATTGAAACTCGAGGAACGAACGGCGTCTAAATGCAAAAAGATTTTAACTAAATCTGGCTGCAAAGCAGATAAGTATGAGCACCAAAGTTTGATTACAGAATTTTGTGGAAATAACCGCAAGCGTAACCGTTCTCTAACATGGATGTATGTCTCTGATTTTACTCCATCGATTTAAACTTACCTTTTCGTTCGCGCTTCGTGATCAAGTGGCCGCTTTAGTCGTGTGCTTCTACAAGAGTCCGGCCAGCATTTGATGAGAGTCATGTTACTGTTGCTGCCTGTAACAACACGACGACTGAAGACAAACTTTGACTCCAGGATGGCCTAAAAAACGGAGTTGAATTGGAAGTTATTCCGCCAGGAATGATTGTCAAAAAACATTGGAATGGCAAATCCTCATGAAAGAATTCCTTTCAAATTAATGCAGGGTTTATTTCAAAGTATAAGTTGACCACGTGACGAGTATTTTGACGTACCACATGACTAGAGTGTGACTGATCGTATAGACAAAGCTAGTCACGTATTTTCACGTCACTTTAGGCCCCATCGTGAACACAAAAACTCTCCTCGCTAATCATCTAAACTACGAGCAAAAAAAAAAATCAACGATAGCGCACCGCACGGAACTCTGGGAGTTAAACGGACGAAAAGTACTCCCACAGTTCCGCGCGGCGCGCCATCATCTTCTTTTCTTTTTTCTTTCACTTATTTTTCCTACTCGCACGACGGATTTCGAGAGGGTTCGAGTTACCGAGGAGTAAATGTTTGACGGAAATCTGGGGTGTCGGTGGCTAGCGGTAGATGTTTACCTCTCCGCCTCGCGGTTTGGTAAATATCCATCACTAGCCACTTCCACTTCGGTAAGTAGTAGTTAATTCGAATTTAACCAAAAATGAATTTGCACGTAAAATTTCACATATCTTATCTGTTACTTTTTCCAGACTCGGACGATTCAGATGATGAGATTATCGAGAAGACGCGAGAGCAGATCCACTCGGCAACACAAGGAGAACAAGAAAAAGTAATTAATTTGGACCCCAAACATTACATGAGTGATTATCAGGGTTCTTCGGAAAACTCAAGTGTTTCAAATGGCACCACAGCTTTTGGGGGCTTCACGCATCTTCAAGATGAAAGCGATGTCAGAAAAAATGAAAATTTCTTAGTTAACGGTGACTGTGGCAGTGAACGTGGCACTGGCGAAGAAGAAGTGATCAAAAAAGTACAAAGGATTCGCTTGAATTTTCCAGTCAGGTCAGAAATAGACTCGGCACCGATAGAGCGTGAAAATTGTGAACTCCGCACCTCTGATAAGAATCCTCCACAACATGTAGGCAAGGAAAGCACAGCAAGTAATCAAGGTAAGTTGACTCTTGTTATATTACATTGTCTCTAGGAGGTAGAGCTGAGGAATGTTTAACATACCAGATTACAAGGCTCATTGATCTATTCAGCGACTGTTTATCTGACTGACGAACTGATTGATTTACTTCTGAATGACTGGCTGACTGACCAAGCGACCGAGTGGCGGACTGACTGCTTGACTGACCAACCTACTGCTTGATTGATTGACTAACTGACTGACTGACTGAATGACTTAATGACTAAATAACTAAATGACTGAATCACTGAATCAGTGAATGACTGGCTGACTGGCCGACTGGCTAACTGACGGACTGAATGACTGGCTGACTTGCTGACCGACTGACTGGCTGACAGGATGGCTGATTGACTAGCTGACTGACTGACCGACTGACTGGCTGGCTGGCTGACCGACTGAATGACTGAATGACTGAATGACTGAATGACTGGCTGACTAACTAACTGGCTGACTAGATGACTGACTGACTGACTAACTGGCTGGTTGGCTGACTGACCGACTGGCTGACCGACTTGATAGCTGGCTGTCTTTCTGAAACCACCGCCTCAGACCTAAATTACAGTTATAAGTTAAGCTTCGTAAGGTTCTTCTGTCTTTTAATCTTTCATCCCAAGTTTTCAAGCTAATTCTTTATTTAAATTGTCGTTTTGAGTTGGCCTGTTCTCAATCGCCTTGTGCACTTTTTATGTTTTCAGGTCGAATCCTCGCTGAAGACAGAAAGGATAAGATGAATCAGAATCCCTCAAAGGAAAGTAAAAGGAATAAATCATCGTGTAGTCTCAACTGAGTAACTAAACCTGACCAGGTCAACCCGTTAATGTGAGCAACGTGAACGAACCGGACAACATTGAAGGCGTGATGTGATAAACGCGAAGAATAAGCGCGACAAGCGTTTAACTGATGAAGAGCGATTTATCAGGGTGTTAGGGGTACAGTAATAAAACATTGAATTCTTAACGACAGAAGTACAGCTGGAAGATCACGTATATTCTCTAGAATCCAAATGGCGATGTCAATAAATCGAAATAAGCTACATTTATAAAACGCGAAATCAAATTTAAATTGATGTTAAGGTGAATTGATATTCAAATTTCACGAAATGTCTGGAACGGGGAAATATGAAATCAATTAAAAAGAACATTAAAATATGACCCAACCTTTGCATTTTTGATGCTAATCTTGCCTCAAGGATGTCAACTCTTTTAGACACTACTGATCTAAAAGACCTGTGGAGAAAACAGTTTTCTGACATATGTTTATCTGGGAGAATGAGCGACCAGTTTTGGCGCAAACTCAGAAACACCGTACTCTTGGTGCTGACCAAAACGATCGCATTCCCTAAAGCCATGCGACACCGTACTCTTGGTGCTGACCAAAACGATCGCATTCCCTAAAGCCATGCATTAGACACTGTTTGTTCCTAATGGTAGCCACAGGCCTGTCACGACTAACAGGCGCCAATCTGAGAAACAGGACAAACACGCAGATTGATGGCTGAATAATCCATTGAATAAAAGGATATACCTCAAGTAGTCAAGACGGCAACGTAGAGGAAGACTTCGATTAAAAAATTGATTTTATATTTTTAATTAGAATTTTACGAATGCCTGGAAGTGTTCATCGTATCTTATGGCACTATACCTTAACTTCAGCATAACGTATGTGAAAAGTGTTGAGTTCCAAATTGGGAAACTTAGATAATTTGTCGTCAGGGTTTCTGTTCTCAAACGTCGCAAATTTAAGTGATTTCTCGTTGCTGTCTTGCAGAGGACGGCAAAGAAGTGCACAAAGTTTAAAACGCCCGTGCTAAGCTACTATTCTGTCCAAGGTTGCTATGTGTTAGGTCCCTAATTACCATTAGATAGATAGACACCTTTATTTAACTAAGACGGTACCAATAGTGACTGCTGCGCAAGCGCAGTAGTCACAAAAATAACCAAAGGTAAAAACTCAGGGTAGTCCTGTCCGAAACCTAAGAGTAGACTTCCCTGCTATCAATAGGAGCCCTTATTTTAAATGTATTCTGATCACAAATGCATTAAAAGTATCTATAAAAATATTTACAACAAAAAAAAAATTAATGGGAAAAAGAAAATTAACATGAACAGAAATTATTCTAAACAGTACAGCAACTTCCTGTCACGGTCAAGTCCTATTATTTTCTCACGTCAAGAACTCGATCGGGTTCGGGTTTTCCCGAATTCAGACCGAGCTGCATTTAGCCCGGGAAATATGAGATATGAATTTCAATTTCTATAAACAGACTTGAAGACTATTTATAAACATACGAAAAAGTCGTTTGGTCTACCGTAAATAACGTGTCCGACAGAATTAAAGAATGACAGCTCAGTCATTTTTATTTCAGTTTCTGCTGCTCTCAGCGCTAGAACACACTTGTAACGCTTCCGTATCGGCTTTCGGAAACTAATTTTAACCTTCCGTGAATGTATCAGTGCTGAATGGGAAAGTTTAAGATAATTAAAGTTTTGCGCTGTCTCGGAACGAGATCTATGAAAGACTGCCACAACTACGAAACGCGTCATTAGTTTTCCTCGGCTGAGAAACAACAATCTTAGGTGCTAACGACGATTTGGTTATCATGGAAGAGATGTTGGATTTTGAACAGAATACCACTTACTCCAACATTCAAGGGAATACCACTTATTTATCGGGTGTAGGTCCTGTTGCACTCAGTTATAACGACAATAACCCTGGTATGTATGATAATGACTCGTTCTACTCCTTTGAGGGCCACAAGTTTATTAGCCTTTGGTTATTAAGAGCTACCCTCTTTAAATAAAGAGTTTACTTACTTACTTACTTGCTTACTTACATACCTATACTTACTTACTCCAATTACACTTAGCTTAGTCAGGGAGAACCATCAGATTTTTTTTCTTACTTTTGAAAAACGTCGGCTCACCAGCCTTAGCTGCTAACAGCAACTTGATCTGAAAACCAAAACAAAAAAAAATTTATTTATTCTTTGTTGAGCAGTCTGCTTCAAATTAACTCAAAACTGGCCTCATTCGAATGCCTGGAATCTCTGACTACCTCCTTCGTCACTTTAATTATCTACATGTTTATCTATTTGTTCCCGAAAAATAATGCATTCTGTGCACTAGCTTGATATGTTAGAAGGACTTTTGAAAGGCAAGTTAATTAGAAACTGAAATTTTCACCCTTTTAAGGCCATCTTCTTTCTCCGTATTCAATATAAATTTACCGCTGTAAGCTGCTACCTTACAGACTTGTTGGCTCTTAATTAATCTGTGGCATCTTTTTCCTTATCGCAGGATTCTTCATGGGTCGGAATGCTTTGATAAATGAAACAACTGGTGATAAAATAATTCCATTTCCAATTATAAAACCACCTGTTTGGGATGGGAACCTCCATGTAAACACCTCACAAGCTCCTGACACAGGTGAATGTTTCATTTTAATCTAAGGCCGGTCGGGCCGTTTATATCCGATACGAAGACGAAGAGATTGATCGAACTGTTAATGTCGCCAACCACGATTACATCTTTCGATGTTTTAAGTTGCATATGATGCGGTGATCAATCGAGCTCTTAATTCTTTAACTCCCAAGATCTGATTGTTGATTCTCCAAACTAGCTGCTACACATTTCCTAATAAATTAATTATAAGAATTTGGTGTTAGATCAAGATAAAAACTTCTACCTGACGAGTTTGGGAATTTTTGTTACCCGTTTGTTGGATTATGTATGGATATTATAGGGAGAAGTCACATGTCAATCACTTCTGAGAGTTAAAGAAGGACACCGGTAAACGAAGAGAAAGCGTGTCGCATATATATTCATTGTTATCGAATGGCAGATTCAACCGTCAACCTGTGAATGCATCTGGTGCCCAGGTGCCCTAGATTCTGTTTGGAAGGTGCCCTAGATTCTGTCTCCCACTTGGCCGTGGGAGAGTCAGGTTCCATCAGATGCGAAACCCGCGTTTTGGACCCGCAATCCTTTTGGTCAGCAACACGTTTGGTGGCAATCCTAAATAGGTCATGTATGGGGAATTAATACTGTATGTATGTAAAGTATAGGACATAATATGTATTGAGAACATAATAATTCCCCATACATGACATACCGACCGTGGCAATGTACATATGACAATGTAATTGAGTAGGAGTGCGTCTTCGTACTCGTTCTTCGACCACCAATTCCCCGACTCACTTGAAATATGGAGTTACTTTTTTGTGAAAGGGGGAAAACCGGAGTGCATATACCTGAAGAAAAACCCGTTGAGTAAAGACCAAAATGAACTCCACATTGGATCCATATTTAATCCCGAATCACAATTTTAAGAACAGTTAAATAATCTAAGCCATTATTTAATTCAATATTTACAGCAAAATTTTAATACCTAAGGGTAGAATTGTTCCGTTTTAGAGCTGGCGGGATCTGAGCTGTGATTAATATGACAAAAACTCTTCTCAGGTGAGAATCTTTTCACATATCATGCTACTGTTGATGACACTGAGTCATTTTCAGCCTCAAAACCACCCGCTTGGAACACAAGTCGTGAAGAAAAAATTTCCCGAGATGCATTTGGAGGTGAGGAGTGAATTTCTATGGATAATTTGTCATCTTACTGTTTACGAGGTCCGCAGTTGACAGTACTCGTATAATGTTTACAAAATTAGCTTGGTTACAAAAATCTCCTTTTTTTCAATTTGCGTTTTAAGAATTGGACAAATCACTAATATATTTTTTTCTACCTGCTGCGAGGCAAGAGAATGAACAGGGACAATTTTTATCGCCTTCCATAATGAAGAGATCGATTGAAATTCTGCTTGAGTACAATAAATTAATTTATATATAATCAGGTACAAGGGCGCCATTAATATAATTATAAATATTGATAGATGATGAGAAATCACAGCGGCCGTATTGGTTACCAAAACAATAGCATGGCGGTCATTTTGCTGTGCAGGTCAGTCTCGTGGGATTTGAACTGTTTTCTGAAATGAACAATATCTTTTGCTCAGCACGTGACAGAAAACGTCTCATAGCAGAATTTAACGGTGGCTCATGTTCAGAGTTGCTCTATGTTTCAGGCCTTCAGTGTCTTCAATGTCGACTTTCTTATATTTTGGCACCTTGACACAATGTTTTTGAAATACTCTTTGTGAATCACTCTTGGTATTTTTTTGTTATTTTTTTTTTTATCTAGATTCCAATGAAGGTATTGCAGCAATATTTCACTCATTTTGTGTTTCACGGGAAAGAATGAAATTTCCAACAAAACCTCCAAAATCACCTGAGAAGGACGCATATCCCCTTGAAAACATCTCATCAACTCAAACTAAAAGTAAGTGGTGTTTTGTTCACATTTTTCTTTCAATATTTGCAACTTTCCTTATCATTGTTGCTTTCGTATTTTGTTTCGTCTTCTGTGGATCTCTTGGATTACATCAATGTTTTAAAACTGATAAGATCTGAGGATCAGATTTAAATACACGCCCATGACTAATACTTTTCCTTTATTTCATTTTTCTTTTCTTTACTCACATCAACATTTCCCAATAAGATGTACAATATAAAATATCTTGCATAAAATCGATATGATATTTCTATTTTAAAACCTATATATTTAATTTATTGATGAATCATTGTTTCATTTTATTCCACGGCACACTAGGCTTCAAACCAGAGAGCTCCGAGGGACAATGTAATTCAGATGATCAAGCTACTTCATTGACTCAAGAGATGAAACGTAACTGGCTTTTCTTCTAATCATGACTCAATTAATGATGAGAGAGTCTATGAGTAAAAACTAATCAGTATGAATTACAGCAAGGTTTCTTATTTTAAAAGCCAAATTATACTCGCCTGCGGACGCTATAAAAAGGTAGCAGCAGCCGATTCATACAGAGAGGCCATACTCCTTGTTGCTTCTTGCTTGTTACCTTGCTTAGCTTCAGAAAACCAGGGTGATCTCTAGCTGAAGTGTGATACAAGGCTTGTAGACGTTGGAGGTGGAGTCTGGGCCAAAAGTGAAGGACTTTCAACTTCTCAGTTGAAAAATAAAAATGGCCGGAGACCTCTGGAAAAATAAACAATCAGAAAATCTATCCGTCACACTCTCCAAACATTTTGAGAAATGTGAGACAAACCCCAATCGCATTGATTAAACAAATGAATAAATAAATTAGATTGGCCAGACACCGGATGTCTGGCCAGACACCGGATGTCTGGCCAGACTCCGGATGTCTGATATTCTTTCTAAGAAACACAGGAATCTGTTATCCGAGGTGATCAAATTTTAATCCCGACGTCGGTTTTTCGTGTAATTTATCCGACATAACCGCAAATTCTATCCAGTTTAACTGGATTTTCATCTTCGAGGAAACATTCCTATAAATCTCTTCCAATATTCAGCTGACAAGTTCGAAAGTATATCTATGCCTGAAATGTGTCCCACTGGCATTTGTTTTAACACACGGCGAATTCTCGAGACAGCAGTAATATGACCCACATTTCTAAGAAAAGACAACTCTAAAAACGCTTAAAAACATAACACCAATGATTATTGTTACAGAAAAACGAATTAAGCGGGACATCAAGTTCATTTTAAAAGACTCAAGCGAGGAATTATTTAAAAAAAAGCTGTGCATGTATTGACTTGCCCACATGTGACCGACACGTGCTATGTTGTTTACATTAAAAGCTGTATTACGACTTGTAACGACAATCATTCCCTGAAATAGTACTGCAGGAAAAGGAAAAAGAAAGATAGAAAGACATTCACTAGTGTTGTTTTGACATAGGCTGATGAGCAACTCTGCAAGCTTTGCATGACTTGTGGTATTTGGAGGAAATAAAGGAGGTTTCATGACACGTGACACGTGCTTCCTTTTAAGGTGTTATCGATAAATCACAAAGGAGAATGACTTTTCTGAGAAAGAAGTATATCCCAACAGCTTATTACCATAAAGAGCTGCTGGGGCAACTGAGGTCACACGTCGACTCGCTCAAATCGTGCAGACGGACCCGTAGCTTGCTGAAAATAAGAAAGTTTCTCGCAGAAAAACAATGGAAAATGGCGGAAGTGAGAAGGAAACAAACGAACCACTGAACACTGGCAAAGAAGGGGAGGAAGAAAGTAAGAAAGAATTCGAATCTCATCCAAGGTCGATGAAACTTGGTAAGTTTCACTTGAACCAAATCTCGTTGTCCCCTCTGTTACCGTATAATCTAACCGTCAGAAAAACACTGCAATCCTACAAATTCAACTACTTTATTAAACAACTCGTGATGTTGTTGACAGAAATACCGTAGGTCTTGTATATTCGTTACATGAGGTCACACAACTCGGGTAATATTAACGGTGAAAATTTGCATATTTGAACAACAACTTTCCCTGGAGGCAGTACAGTACTTATGCTCGATCAACTTACTTAGGCCCACTACAGTCTATATCTTAGCTAACCACTAAGCCGAACTCACAGTTTTCTCCATCGTTTCTTGAAATTAGCAATCTTCCACTGTAGCTCTCTCTCACGGTATAGCTTTCTAAACAGTCGGTTGCTCCCGACAACAAAAACAACAACTCCTACTACATAACTGAGTCCTTGTATACATTCACAAAGTGTGCACAAGCTTTTAATCATATTTTTAATCAGGCTTTTATTAATCATGAAGGCGTCACGCGTTGTCTGACTCGGTGTTAAGTTACAAGAGGAACCGTTGAGAACTTGAACACATTATAAGGAATGGTATGGGGAACGAGATATGGATACAAAATGCAGACTAGGTACAAAATGTAGAATTTCTACCTAAAAATTTCATACTTTTGCGCTTAAGATCTGCCAAAACAAAAACAAAATTTATAACATAAAATTATAAGGAAACCGTTGCTTATATTAGAATTACACTTAAAAAGATAACTAAAAGAACGTAGCCCTTGAAGTTTGTTACATAACAACAGAATAAACAGAGAAATTGAGGGAGGAAGGGTGTACCTAAGGTAATGTCACCAAAAGAACTACTTGTCGTCCGTATGAAAAGTCAACTGATCATAAATTCAGGGCGGAAGATGAAAAGTACAAGTTGGTTACACCTTAATCGCCTCACAGAAAGAGGTGTTGAACGCGCTGAATTAAAAATTAAGAATTACTTTCTTGATCGAGAGTTTGACATGAAATTGATCTAAAAACGAATCTGAAAGGAATGAAAAGTGTAAGAAGTAGGAATTTCCAGGAATTCCTGTACGAGATTAACCTTTTCCAGATCAAATTACTCCCATATTCATCAAGTAGATTATCTTCATTGAAATATATCTTACCGCAAGATAATTGAAATACCTCACGCCAAGTTTTAATCACCTTAACACTGAACATCCGCTTTCATGTCAAACTCGCGATAGGGTAATATGCCATAATATTAACGGCTTAATACAAACTTTTGTGGAGTTAAATGGACTATCTTCTCTCAGAAAGAAAAGATAACAACTACTCTACTTACAAAGTAAGAACTGCTTACAATATTTTTTAACTGCATGACTTCTGCTAATATGTTATTTCCATTCAACACCAAGGTAATGAATCGCCTATAATGCTCCCAGATAAGATATGTTTTCATTTTATCGTTTGACATTTCTCTTGCTTCTAATTTGATATAAATATATATAAACACCTAATTGCAATAACGTCATAGAAACAAGCAAAAACAATAAGACTTAAAAAGCCAAAGAGGAATTTTTTAGCATCGCGAAAACTACCCGCTAGATATACCCGGTAGCCGAACAATTTCCACACAGTTATTTTCACTGAAAATGTTTTTCAAACCTCTTGATAGTGTCAGAGGTTTGTTAGAAATTACAAGCATTTCCAAACATAAAAAAAAAGCATATGCAAAAATAAAAAAAATTAAATAGAAATATATATCCTGATGTCGTATGCTTATGCTATGGTCTGATTAATTTGAATTCGACTTTGTACTTTTTCTATCAACTTTTTTTAAAGCGTCGAGAGGAAGGATGGTATTTAAAGAGAAGACGGGGCAGGGTAACAGCAAGAATAGTAAGTATAGTATCAATTGATGCTATCATTGAACGAAAGTTCTTTGTGCTAAGCATTGAACAAGAGCTCTTCGTCAGTGTAAAGCAAACATCTTTGCTTTACACTATCTTCTACAATTCTTCTACACTACAACTTTCCCTATCATTGATGTTTTCGTATTTTGCTTCGTCTTCTGTGGATCTCCTGGACTGCATCAACGCTTTAAAACTGATAAGATCTGTGGATCAGATTTAAATAAGCTTAAATACACGCCCATGACTAATTCTTTGCTCGTCGTTTCATTTTTCCATTTTTCCTTTCATTCATTTTTCTTTTCTTTAGGCACACCAACATTTCCTAATAAGATGTACCAAAAAAAAATCTGAATAAAATTGATATGATATTTCTATTTTAAAACCTAGATACTTTATTTTATGATAATTGTAATGAGCTCCTGCTCTTGAATAATTTGTAGAGTTACATTTGAGAGAAGCATTTTTTCGTAACATCAGAATTTAACGGTTGCTCATGTTCAGAGTTGCTCTCTGTTTCAGGCCCTTCAATGTCGACTTTCTTACCTTTTGGCACTTTGCCACAATGTTATGAACAACACTTTGGGAATCACTCCTAGTATTCTTTCTTTTCATATCTAGATTCCAATGAAGGTATTGCTTCTATTTCTCCAAAAGCTGTTGTACGGGGAAGAATGGAATTTCCAACACCACCTCCAAAATCACCTGAGAAGGACGCTAATCCCCTTGAAAAAACCTCATCGACTCAAACTAATAGTAAGTGGTGTTTTCTTCACATTTTTTTTCATTATTTGTAACTCTCCCAATCATTGATGTTTTCGTATTTTGTTTCGTCTTCTGTGGATCTCCTATGTTACATCAATGCTTTAAAACTGATAAGATCTGAGCATCAGATTTAAACCACGCCCATGACTAATTCTTTGCTCGTCGTTTCATTTTTCCATTTTTTCTTTCATTCATTTTTCTTTTCTTTAATCACAACAACATTTCCCAATAAGATGTACCAAAAAATAAAATCTGCATAAAATTGATATGATATTCTATTTTAAAACCTGGATACTTCATTTATTGATAAATCTTTGTTCTATTTTATTCCACGGCACACTAAGCTTCAAACCAGAAAGCTCCGAAGGGGCAGTGGCGAGTGTCGAGAGGAAGGATGGAATTTAAAAAGAGGACTGGGCAGGGCAGTAAAACGAATAACAAGTGTAGTATCAGTTGATGCCATCATAGAACGAGAGCTCTTTGCGTAAAGCAATGATGTTATCTAAGTCTTACCACTAGGAAAACGATAGTTTCATCTCTTGAATAATTTGTAGAGTTACATTTGGGAGACGCATTAAGGAAGTAGGTACATCATCATAATTAATCGCGATTAATTATTCTAGCTCTTTGATTGGTCAAGAAAACTCGCCTTCCCTCCCATCCAATGGGATAAAAATCTCAGAACCAACCGTGGCTTGGTTACTTGCGTTTTCCCGCGCTTCAGGCCGGCTCCATGCATGTATTTGCTTTGAGTCTCATAGGCTCGTTTTGAAATTTCCTTCTTACTGACTGTTCCTTATTATTACTGTACCTTGGTTTACGAAACTTATGCACTCGAAAGTGAGAGGTCCGTACTGGTTATGTGAAGCTCGTCAACAACATTCCGACGTAGAGGAAAATTTTCCGGCCTACTGATTTTTTCTTAAAAGTCTGGACTCCTTGTCAAGTATTTGCAAATTTCGTCGTGACAAGTTTTCTCCTTGACATATGTCCATGATAAAAAATTGTATGGCAATTCTCGATGAAAGCTTAACAAAAAAAAATCATGACGGTTGTCATTGAACGAGGCTGCACTATTTATTAGTAACAAATGACTCACAACAACGAGTTTCCTCACAAATAGCGTTTAATAAGGCACATAAATAATTGGAACGTTATGTCTACGATAAATAAAGCTTATAAATATTCATTAGAATTACAAGTAAACATGTTAGAAAAATAAATCGGTTGCGGAGCGTAAAAAGCAAATCTCAATGAGTGAAAAAACCAGGTACTGTATGTCTTATGCAATTAAACCCAATAGTTTTTAAGTTTGATTTCCGTCCTGGTTTATCTTACAGCAATTTTTATTTTTCTTTAAAAATACGAAATGTCGAATATTGTCTTGCTACGATACATTGTATGCCGGGAGGTGGATTGTCTAAAACACTCTATTCACCCTTTCACACTTAAGATCTAAGAGCTAATAACTCTCCCAACTAATTATGATACATTTTTGGAAGAGAAATTGAGAGAATTTTGCGCGAAATCAAACATCCCGATGTCATAAACGTTTTAATTTCTATCTTCTTTCCTGCCTAATTTTGTACTGAAATTGTAACGATAACTTACAAACTTATTACCGCTGGGAAAATGGGAAGTTTCCAGACATTTATCTAATTTTTACAAACAGAAGAAAAGTGTTTCTACTCTTCGTTTTGGAAAATCAACTAACGATCGTTTCACGTTAAGCAACTGAGAATAATCTTGACAGGATTTCACTAACAAAAAAAGAATAACATTTTTCGATCTCCTTGGTTCTAAAAAAAAATAAATTGAAAAAATAAATTTGAGAAAATAAGCCAATATATGGTAAAAGGATCTGAAGATACGAAGGAATAGAAATATATTACTAGATTGGACGCTTCGGCAAATTTATACAAAAGATTGGTTTGGAATTAAATTTGTCTGGTACAAATGGTCGCCCCTCATATGTACCCTCTACTCATCTACGATATGTAAACTATGCTATAAAAGGTAGTTAGAAACTTTCGAGTATGACAATGGTACAGTTCCTATTTTACACCATGCTTTTAATCTATTTTTTGGAAATTTTTCCCCGCATAAGCCCGAGGAAAAAAATGTTATCTGAAAGATTTGTATATACAGTCAAGACTCAGATTGAAATCGTCGCAAATGTGTACCTAAAAAACGCCGAGTATGATCTCATCTCACTTTTGTATTAAGTTTTTTTTTTTTTATAAGGAGTAGAAAGTTTCAAAGGTTCTACGACAACTGAAGATGTGTGTAAAATTTTAGTATACGATACCTAATAAAATCTATTTTTCTATCACTGTAGTAAAGTCTTTTAAACTTTCTTTAATTTCTGTGAGCTTTCGAGCTTTTTTATATCATTTCTGTAAGAAAAACTAAATGCCTGACACATCATAACCTACATAAGCGTCTGAGAAATGACAAAATTTTTTTTTCTGGTGTATATCAGAGGGCAGGAATTTCAATCCATGAATCTGATCGGCTAATCGCGCACTCGTAACCGGTCCAGCTTTTTACGGAATTTTTCACGCCATTCCCGACAAAGTGGTAAAAACAAACCAGCAAAAAAATTAAATAGATTATTTAGTGGTCTAAATTGATCTGCATGGAAAAAAAAAACGGTGCCCTTGGTCTTGAGTATGGCATTCGGCCGCGGGCCGCACTCAAGACCATCGAGTACAGTTTTTCACCCAAATATATACATTTCCATTGTTTTAGTATTTTACAAATCCATTAAGTTGACAAGATCCTTTCCTAAACTGCACGTCATCTAATGCTATATCTCCCGTGTAGCCTCGACCTCGTGTACCTTCAAACATAATCTGCAATACAAGCAATTCAACAGATGGAATCACGGTATATTATTGACTAAGTGAAGAGGCCGCACAGAAACATGGCCTCGAACCCAAACCCCTAGATACGGAGTTTAGCGCGCTACTCGCGCCTTAACCCTTTACGCCCTAATATCAGTATGCATATTCTCCACACTGTTCTTTATACATTTCCTAAGGCGCTGACAAGGAGAATTTGTTTGCCAATCAAAAGGTTCCTTCTCATGACCTTAACGTGAGATTTAAGAGTCATATTGTAGGGAGAAATTACATGCTGGTCACTCTTAGGATTTAAAAGATTAAAATATATTGAAGCTGGCTCAGCGGCGGACATTTCCGTTCTTAAATTCATTCACTGCCATATCAGAAACGAAACTTCGATTGCTTACATCATAATGAATAATGTCGCTTTATAGCTTTTTAGGAGACGAAACGTTAATCCTCTGTTAAATCTTCTCTTACCCTAAAATGCGAGTCAGATTTCAGTGAAGAGAACCCTTGTTTCCACCGCTTTCCCTGTTCTCCTGATTTGGACCACAGTTTCGTTTTGGTTCCCAACTCAGTGTTTATCAGGTAAACGCTAAGATGGCCCACAGTCCGACCATTCATACTGTACCACCAGCTTATGCACCAGTCCTCCGAGGGATTGAGCGAGTGGCTCATTAGCTGAGACTTGAAACCAAACCGCGCGGGATAAGAGGATTCTAGGTAGAGGTAATAGCCTACGGAGAAACAAATTAAAAATACCAAGAGTTAATGTGCTGTGACAATCGCAAATTTGCCGTATTTAAAAACTCCATTTCCCGATAAAATAGCGGGAAGCCTTCCACAAAGAGCACAGGCAGTCCAAGTCCAAACTTACCATTGCCTGTGCCATGATCTCCTCCTGGTCCTGTGTTCCTACTCGGGGTAGGACCTTTGTGACGATACCACTTAAAAGATGGTGACGTACTCCAGACGTTTGTCCAATTACAATAGTCTTTATCGAAATCACAAGCGTTTGAATCTGCAAAAGAAGGAATTGTGTTAACGTGGATATTGTCCATTTATCGAGCATGATTCAAAGAGAGAAATAATAAAAACAATTTTTAAAACGAAAATTTTTAAATAGACTAATCTTACAATGAGCACTGATTAGGAACACATAGCTAACAATATATAACCCGGAGTCTTATCTCCAGGGGAGGCCTCGTTTTGGGGAAAAATAATTTCACTCGTGAGATATTCCCACACGAAATATAATTAACTCCTATAGATCCGTACATGTTGGGTAAAAAATTCACATAAATGTCATCCATTGGCATTTTTTCTAGTTTCTTTTTCGTACCAGTATGTTTTGAACAAATTAAAAAAGACTGCATGACCTAGTCCTTCAAAGGCACAACCTAACCGTTTATTTACATCGCACAAAATAAAGCTTACTGATTTTCACGTTCTTTGTTTGCGACCTGTTTAAATCGTTTTCATCATTTAGCCATTCCTGTTCCATACAATCTAATATTTTCTTGCCTTGTTCATGTTGCATCTAAATTGGAACTACGCAAAAAATCTGCTCAAGGATGTAGATCTAAAGGACATAGACAAAAACCTAGCAGAACTTGACTTACTGTCAGGACACGCCTTCATGTTACACGTGCGCATTTGTGTGTTTGCTCCCACGCACGTTTTCCCGCCATATTTAGGTGCCGGGTCGTTGCATGATCTTGTTCTCTTCCGTTTGCCGTAACCACATGATTTATCACAAGCGCTCCACACACCCCATTGACCCCAGTTTCCCTTGACAGGCGCTAAAATATTCCGAGAAAAAAGATGGGTTAAAGCATTCTACATTCTTTTAAAGTGGATCTGCAATCATAGTTAGCTAGAGAGTAAACTAAAAGAACCAATTAAGATGCCCTCAATTTTGCAGGGAGAAGACCGTTATTAGTTTGCCAGACCCAACATTCATCGAGAGGAGGATATTGATAACTTGGTCTTATAATAATATCACTCACCATAACATTCCTCTTTGGTACACTTCCTCCGGTCAGTTTTTATTCCATGAGAATCGGCCCCAGGACAGTGCGACCGGGACGAAAAGCAAACCCGCTGGCGGTACTTCATGCACCTGCTGTTACAGGGGGTGTACGCTGACCACTCGCTCCAGCCTACTTTGTCCTTATCTACAAAAAGAACAAGCGTTAATTGAAAAAGCTGAATAACATTTGCGCTTCACGAACTCGCTTGCGTAGAATGGCAAAGCTATAAATTAACCATAATGGCGGGACTTTTCACATAAAGTTTGAAGTTTTGATGTCTATTGAACGAATAAATTCCGTGTTGTTGGGTGTCTGTTCAGTAGTAAATCACAGATGACCTCAAAATGTCGTAAGAAAAAAAAAGTGGCACACGAGGCGCAAATGAGTGCGACACTGACGTTTTTGCCACATTTAAGCGGCAACACGGCAACATAGAGTCTATTTGTTTTATGCGATAAAGAGATCATTAGTAAAAACTAGTAATCAAAATGCTTGTTTTATTCAGCCTGAAAAACCCATTTAATTAACTAATTTGATAATCTGTAAATCAGAGTAGACACTCACTTTTGCAGTCATACAGGGCGTTTAATTTCTTGATATCCAGATAACTGAAGCCGACTGAGCGTCCCAAAGACATGTAAGGGTTGTTTAGAGCGCGCACAGTTGGTTTACCATTTCTTGAGAACGTTCGTTTACTGTAATGCATCAAGCTATTGTAGTCATAATCAAAGTCCATACTGTCTACTTTGGAATGTTTGTACTTGTTAAATTGATTTTCCATCCCTAAAAAATAACACATAAAAAAACTTAAAATGTATCAGTAGTGCTGTCGCCTTTCTCTGACATTTTGCGATCTTTGCAGGTCATTGTAAAGTTGAATACCTCACAGGTACGCCACAAATGCTTCAAGGCAACAGTTCTAATGTAACACACGAGACAAAAAACTCGGGTTTAACTCCTCTACTTTCCCGCTCTCTCTCACCACTCTTAGAGTTCCCGGATGTACGAGACCGCTGTCCCGATGTACTACAGTCATGCACTGGATTACTCTGAACTGACCAGAGTGGGAGTGTCAAGTCAGCCTTGAGCTAGGATTGACTATGAACAGGTTTCCTGACTGAAACGCTTGAAAACACAATAAAGCTTTCTTGGCCCGATTATTATCATGATCTAATTTGCATTTCTCCATCTGGTTGCCACAAATTTCCTAGTCATATTATTCATGCAAATATAGCGCTTTTAAAATCCTTCCACGGTCATGGCGTTCGTCCTCGCGCGATAAGTCTCGCGGAGGATCGTGTGGGAAGCTTCCACTTTTGATGAATACTGTCAAAAGAGGGTGTAGTCATTTGTGGTAATTATCGTGGTAGGTACATTGTTGAAGTTCAAATAACACGTGACTGATGCATCACATACCCTTCTTAATATTCTCCCAGATGATTTCCACGTACTCATCTCGGTCAGGCCTCGACTGCTCGTGCCAAAACCCAATTGCATGCATCAACTCATGCATAATTATTCCTTTGTTGTTACATCTAGCCCCCAGCGACAGACTTTGAGGACCCTTGAACCAGTACAATCGGCCAATGTAACTCCAACATCTGCAAAACACCAATGCATCCACGTCAATTGCAAGAAAAACCCTGTGTTTTTACAGCGCTCTCAGGTGTGTAAATAAAAGCACGTTTCGTTGAAAACGAGAAAAACTTTGAACACTTCTTAATCCACAAAGAATGTATATTGCACTTTTTAGGCGATCAGACAACGGGTTTGTAAAAATTCTGCACATACAACGCTTTTTCTCGCAATACTGCTACCCTACCGAGACAGGACGCTTCTCATTGGAGTTAACACCTCTGGCTTTTGTCTAGTTTTCCCTACGGTTCACAGAAACTCATTTATACTTCTGGAGAGGGAAGATGGGTGGGAGAGAGAGAGGAATTGTGATAGTATAGTGTCTTCCTGCTCAACGCGACACATTGGCTGAAAGCGAATCTTTCGACGCGAAGTAAAGCGAGCCAACCATTGGCCACCGCGCCTACCACAGGGTTCAAACAGGTAAAAGCAGTTGAAACTCCACTCACCCTTTTCCTTTGCTAAATTTTATCCAGTTCCTCTCGTTTTTCCTCTCTTTAAAAGTGATACAGGTGTATTTGTGAAACTCCTCAATCGCAGACATGATGTTCTTCTTGTATGCGTCTAAAATGTAATAAATATAGACGACATCATACAGATTGGAAAGTAAGGGGGTAAGTTTCGAAAGAAACTGTGATGCTGCGTCGATGGGAGAGTATAACAGGGTAATTTAGTATTTTCAATTGAGTAGATAACGTGAATTGGCCACAAAAAAGCCGACGTTTCGAACGTTAACCCTTCGTCAAAGTGAATCATGAAGGGCTAACGCTCGAAACGTCAGCTTTCAAACTCTTTACGATGGCCAATTTACGCTATCCACTCAGTTGATAATACTAAATTACCCAGATTGGAAATAGATTGGTACTAATGGTACTAACAGTGAATCCCATCCAAGCTCGGCTCTACGGACGAAATCAAAATGGCGAGCTCTTGACAAAAAGTAGGAAAAATAGGAAAATATCAAGACATTTACTGAAAACCAACTAATATTTGCATAAACTTTTAAACTTAACTACTGCAATAAAATACAGACTTAACTTGATACTGTTGTTACCATGGAAACGAGACAACTGGGTGCCTTAATATTCCAATATTCCAGAGCGATAAAAGATTTGAGCAAAGATGGCTTCCCTTCGTAACCTTGCCGAGAAATAAACTGCGTATGTTCGGCAGGTTTCACCTACCTAGTCCATTTTCGATCTCATATGGAATAATTCGGTTGGGCCAAATCTTTTTCCTCTGACGCACGGCATTTCTTTTGAAACGTGCCTTCTCGTAAACGTTCCAGTCTCTCTCCGTCAAAACTATATCTCCTTCGTGTCCGATATTGTAGGCTGTAATGAAGACATACATATCATTATTAGGGTGCGCACGCTAACTGAGGAGGAGAGAGGGTATTTAATGGATCACTCTTTGCAGTTATTTTCCATGTATTTTTCCCTTTACAACGCAAACCACGTGGCCTGGGTTGCACTTAAATTGAGTTTTTTAACAGGAACTTGAGTCACTACTGTCATTTTTTCGTCAGAAAGACGATGTTTTGAAGTTGACGCTTTCTTTTACTTTTGGACACTCAAGAGTGAAATTGGAATAAAACAATCGTGCTTCCATTACATTTTACAAGCGTGCATTCACGGAAGTTTTCTAAACTAATTTTCTGTTGAAGTTCTCAGATCAAGCATGAACCGTTTCCTTCGAAGTAATATGCAAGTACATGATAGATTCTCCATCCTGTTAAATAGAACATCACTGCCGGGTAAAGCACGAAAATCACAAGTAACTTCCTAATCCCACTCGTCGAGTTGTTCGATTATCACAGCCGAGTAGTTTTAAGAACCAATCACCCGTGGTTCGTTCCTTTCCGGTGACGCAGTTCACAGTTTGTTACTTCCTTAGTAAAAGAATGTTGGTAGGCACGTACATCTACAGCTGATAAAATTAGTGTTTGTATAAATCTCTGGATTCTTTAAACTTAAAATTATAAAATTCATTGTTATTTAAACAACATGACTGACCAATGAGTTTAACCTTGGGATTCTGAAAAAACGAAGAGCTTAGACGTAGTGAGGTGAGAAACCGATAACACCGTCGAAGTTGTTTTTGCTAAATATGACGGCTAAGTCTTATTTTTTTTTTAATTGCATAAGATAAGATTGCCAACAACTCGATATCCTTTTTTGACTAAAAAAATTGTGCTGAACAAGTGTAACCGATAGCTACCACTTTTTCCCGCCAGAATGACGCGGGTCACGTCCACGAAATTCTCATTGTTTTATCAAATTTCTTTTCATGATTTCATGAAACGTGATTGGCTTATTAGTTTCATTGTAAAATAATCTTGAAAAAATTGGTAGATTGGTAGATAGAGAGCAAAATGTTGCCTACGCAGTCCAGTTCTGTTACATAAAAACATAACGAGCAGGATCGTTTCAAACTTGGCAAGCCATTGTAAGCTCCTTTGTCTCTAAGTCAGTGTTCGCGTTGGTCGATACTTCCCGAATAGTCGAGAGTTCCGCGTTGGCAAAATTCACGCCAAAGGGGAGCATTTAACTCACGAAGAGAGTTCCTTTCAGCAGCTGAGACTTGATAAGAAATGCAAAGCTAAGTTTCAATTTACGGTTTCAGACCAAAAGCAGCCGATGACGAATCCTGCAAAAATGGCGCTTTTGCATGAGCTGAGGAAGCCGTGACAGGCTACTAGAAGTCCCGCTGCTCTTTTTTTTCAGCTCCAATGCCTTTCCTTCCATCAAGCGCCCTAAAACTGCTAACAACCCAGCCTACCAAAGAATTCTTGAATTTGACATTCCTTAGTTCAACTTCAGTTCATGCAAACATTTCGAGCCTGTTTTAAAAATATTTCGTGCTGTAGTAAACTTTGCATGATGCGCCCAAGGAACACCACAGCCGAACAGAACACGGTAAACGCAATTAGGATTCTGTTGACGTACAGCTCAGTTTTCACTACCTTCAGTCACGGAATTTCTACAGTTGCAATAGGAGTTAAGTGTTAAATAAAAGTTACCCCTGTCCGGTATCTAAAAAAATATGACCCGATTCTCTTTCTCGAAGTTGTGTCAATAGATACTTCCGGTAAACATTTTGGGTTGTATGGAGATAAAAATCTTACCTCAACTCCCACGTTTGCGGTTTATTTTGACTTGAAGACAAAAGAAGCCAATTTGTTTAGCCTGCCAGTGATGGCTATCTCGAAAGGTCGAAATAGCAAATTTAGGTTTCCACTAATTGGCTACCTGTAATGTCTTTTACGCGCAAAGAAATAGATAATCTTTGACGAGGCATCTTAGGGCATTATAACAGCTGCAGGTAGAGGATAACACGCTTACGTTTGTTTGCTTCGTTAATCCAGTCCATGACAGTAAAATCCTCCCCAAGCTCTTCTGATTGAGAGATAATGGTAGTGTCTGGTAAAAGAAAGAGAAAACAAAACACCATATTAATAACAGTCCCATGACGCAAAGAGAAACACACACAAGTCCCTTAAGAGCGTGAGTCCTTATCTGCACTTCTAATCATCATGTGGATCATTATAACAAGTTTACTTTCTCTCTATGCCTGCAACGCCCGGCGAAATTATATAAGCATGTTTTAAGGTGAGAACAGATATCCAGTCGCACATCAAGGCAATAATTATGGGCTCAGCCACGGGAAGCTCTCCAAAATAAACAACCACCTCAGAAACAATAACAGTGAAGCAAATCAAATATTTTTCGGAAGTTTGCTTCACCTGAAAACCTGTTTGCGCCCAAGGGACTTGTAAACGAAGAACGGCCTGCACCGATGACAAATATAGCTACTCGTAACAGTAAACATTGCCAGGGATCCATCACGTATCTACGAAAAAAATACTATTGTCAGGAGATATGAAGAACATACACCGGTCAGTGCTAGGCGTAACAGTTCACCCTTAAAAAATGTACGAAAACGAAATGAAACGCAAATTACTTTGTGGAAAAAAGCAAACACGGGCAAACCTCTAACGATGATGAAACAAGCCAATACTAGTGTTTAACCCGACCGCCCGTACTCTCTGTTGCATGTGAATAAATGTCCGTGTGCCCTGGTTCATGTGCTCTCCAGCGTCAAATCCTGTTTGTCATTCAATCTCATTACTGTTCACATACTTTACGCTATCAAATCCCTCCCTCCCTAAGTCACGTGAAGTCAATAGCGGCACATTTCCAAAATTCGTTTGCACGTCAAAATTATTTCAATAATACTTTGGCTTTTTAACCTCCGCCCATCGGCTTATGTCCATTTTGTCTAATACGTTGCACCAAAGGTTAGAATCTGTCTACAGTTGCTGTCAACAAAATCTTTTCAACGACGGGAGAACGCATCGGGAACATACTCTGAAATATTTGACCGTCATCTTTGGGCTTATCTGATGAAATCATTCTTACAGAGATAAAAAAAAATTCCCTGTACGTAAGTTTAGTACACAAAATTTAAAATAACTATTTTCAGAAAAGCTGCTTTCTGCATTTATCTGTTTTTACACCTTAATCTTATCCCCAAAAGAGCATTTAAGCTAAGATCAGCCGGATTGCCTGAAGTAACAGAGTTTGGGAGCTGTGTACCGGAAGAGGAAGAAATCGAGGGCATTGCAGAGTTTTCGAATCTGTAATCTTATATCAAATAGCACGCTAAAAATATATTTCTATACATGACCCTTGTGCTGACTTAAACCGCGGTAAGGACCTGGAAAATTCGTCTGCTCTTACGGCCAAGAAAACACACTAAATCTAAACCAGAGAAAGGTTATTCGCACGTTTTGCCCAGGTGTTTAACAAACTAAGCCAATCAAACAAAGAGGTGGATATTTATCTGACATAGCCTACAACCTTGCACAAGTTATACTTAATGTGCCCCTTTGATCCATTTGCTTGAAAATGCGCCAAATACCAAAACACTGCTCACGTGAAAAAAAATTAAGGATGCTATGCATACCGATACGGCAAAAGGTATCAACGTGCGAAAACGAGGTTGTAAAGTTTCTCAGGGTTATCAACTCACATTCGGAAGGAAAATTCTACACCAAAAAGTTCCCTGCATTTCATGAACAGCGCACTACACTCTTTGTCTCGATCAATATTAACTCCGATAGGTCAGTGATGTAATTAACGGCACCAACATCAGTTTACTACATGAGACCCACTCAAAGACATAACGAGGTCGCCTCACCGAATCAAACTTCTCGTACAGGGGAGCCCATATTGCCTTTTTTTTCGAGAGCTGTATTGACTGTGTTGTACATTCAATTAATCTATGAAAAATAAAAGAGACTATGTGTTTCACTCTGCAGTGTTCCTTAAATCCAACAAAACGTCTAGTATTAAACAATGCAAGGAAACACTGCAAGTTTCGTTCGCCTTCCGAATTTTAATTATTTTGTCTTTAATCATATCATTTCACACGGCAGCGGAATATTCACACTCTCAGTATCAAGGCGTTATCGGTTCTACATCATCCAACACTAACAATTGGTGGTGAATTATTTTTGCACCGCTCAAAAACTTGGCTCACAAACAAGCCATTAACAAAATGAAAGTAAAAATTAACTCATTTCCACGGTCTGACAGTTTGTAAAGCGAGTCTGGCTCTTGAAGTCAAAATATGGCTAGAATTAAGAGGTATCTTATCACTCTTGTCACAATGGAGACGATGTTATTTACACCCTACTCAACATGTGTAAAGAATACACCTATTATAGTTGCGACCTGTCTCGTCTTGACGAGAAAATACATTGTAGAAAGCTCTCGGTAATAAATTCAGTACGCTGCCTTGGTCACCAACAGAAACATTCAGCAGTTTTTTGAAGCGATCTTAGGTAGATTAGGTAAAGTTTTATGTTCATGACAAGATGTACAAGGGGTGATCTTTGATAGACGATCACAGTTCTTCTAAGTGCTTCGTTCGATGACTCTTGATAAGGATTACGGGGCTAAATTTGCAGGAGGCAATATTGAGAGATCAGCTAAACATACCTCCTATGACTAATTGCTCTGTAGTATTCCCTAAAATTAATTTAGACGAAAGTCGTGTTTCAGACAATTCAATATGATTACAAAATGGAAATATTGGATGCTCGTAAGGCCTTGTAAATACTGATAAAACTAAATGCACAGTTTAGAACTGATCAAGAAAGCTTTCATCGCATCTGCATAAACCTTCGAAATTAAAAACTACTCAAGAATATACCTTAGACTCGCGATTTCATGGTATTTTTTACAGATTACCTTTGCACGTAGAAATAGCGCGATAAAATCAAAAGATACGATCAACTTGTTTGGGATCTCACGTATTGAAGGGCGCTTTCTTCAACTGCCTTGCCGACGAGGACTACCACTATGAGGCAAGTCGCTAATCGAGACACTTATACTCGCCTCTCAGTTACAATATGCAGACAAGGCCAACAAGGGTCGCTTGTTTTCACAACTGGTCGGCAATATTTGCTCCCCTGTCTTGTTTTAGGGTGAGGGAATCCCCTTGGGGCATAAAGCATTAGGATCTTAGAAAAACTCTGAATTTGTCCCCTCTCAGCTCAGTAAAAGCTCTTCTGTTTAAATGTTGTTAACAAATATATAATGAGCTCGTAAAAGCCGAGAGAAATCGAGTTGTTGCTGTGACCGGAAGTCAACGTGGGTTAAAATTACGTAATTGGGTTTTCCGTTTACCATTGTACAAAATGTCAAACCCCGTCG